AATTCAAACATTGAGAAAAAAAAAATGCATCACTAGTCTGATCACCAGCTAATAATTCTTAACATTCACAATACCAATTCATTCATTTAAAGATTGAATTCTTAAAGCGGGCTATTGGTTAAGAGTACATTCAAAATTTCTCAAGCGAGAGGCATTTTTTTTTTTTCAATTACGGACGCTACGGGTCCCTAAAGATTTCTTGCGCTGGTTGTTTTTATTGTAATTGCCAAAATACCTCAATGAACAAATTGAAAACAACTATTGTAATACATTTTTAGGGGCACACGATTTGATACATTATATATCATATGAATTTTTTTCAACAAATTATATTAAGACACTTAGCGCATCAAATCATGTTTCCGACATACTTTAAGATAACATGGTTTGATACACTATAATCGCATCAGACCGTGTTTTCGACAGAATGAAATATCTCTCGTGCGCCATGAGCCATGATACAACTAAAATGTTAAAAAGTTTTTTTTTTTTTCACAACAAGAACAAAGCGAAGAGACGTTCTTTCCACCATATTTTCTTCTCAGAGAACAAAATACATTGGAAAAAAAAACATCCAAAGACAAAGACGGCTTTTTAAGCTTTACGCTTTGCTTGCGAATTTTGGCTTCGTTTTTCTCTCAAGTCCACACCGCGACGAGAAAAACCAGAGAAACTCCAACTTTCTGTTCTCCCCAGAAGTTAAAAGTTCATAAATTTATTCATATTTTTTTCTTTGTTTGTTGTCTTGTTGCTTGATCCTCCTCTGGATTTCTTGTTCGATCGGATCTGAAGCTCTTCAGTGAAATCCAAAAGATGAAAAACAGAAACAGAGACCCCCTCTAAGTTGTTTCACTTTCTCTGTGAGCTCTCGCTCTTTGGGTCTCTCTCATTGTGCCCACCAGCCATGCGAGGTTGCTTGCTGTCGTCTGCTTTCTCTCTTCTCTGATCAGGTAATTTTTCTAAGCTCTCTTTGGCTAATTGGGTTCTTTGCTTTGAGGTTCTTTTGCGTTGTTCTGTTGTTTGGTTGCCGAGAAACTGTGGGAAACGAAAAGAAAATGAAAGTCGTGTTTGGTTTTGAAAAGAATCAAAATTAGAACTTGGGTTCAATCACTGGAGAATTTGGGTTTCTGGGTTTTATAAAAAGATAAATTTTTGTTGAAAATTTTGTCAAATGATCCTTTTTTGATATATTTTTCCCCTTTCGCGCTGCCATTAATTAGATTGTGAATTAAAGCTTGTATCTTGAATTTCGGTTCATCTGGGATTTTCTTTGACTGTATATTGTTGCAGATTTTTTGTTGATTCTGTGTTTCGAATTGACGGCTCTGCCTTGTTAATTTGAATTTTGGAAGACAATTCAAGTTGATGATTCTGTACTTAATGCCTTTAGTGGTAAGATTGTTACATATCATATTATCATAGTGCTCAGTTGAATTTTGCAGTGACAGTGCCTGTGTGAAAGCCATGGGGTCACTGGTTGATGGGGTTAATTCTTTGCCGAAATTTCGCTATTCTGCACCGCCTGAGGTAGGCAAGAACCCTCCTTCCACAACTGGGACTCCTCGTCCTTCTCAGCCCTCATCTCCAAAACAATCAAGAAGCGAAGGGGTTTCGTCGCCATCCTGCGTGACTGCGCATACTTATTCGGTGAAGACAGACAGCTACTCAAATGGTTCTGTAAATAATCAAAAGAACCCCAACAAGGCAACTAATCATAACATGCAGCAGGAAGAGTTTCTTCATATGGGGAAACACTACCACAATTCGAATAAAGGAACACTTGAGCATGGAGGCCCAAATGATGTTCTTAACAAATCAGCCAAAACTTCTTATCTGAACAAGGTTTCCGTGCTGGAAGCAAAATCAAGCGTCAAGCATCCGGTTAATGATTGTGATTCGAGTAGATATATGGAATCTAGAAATCACGGTTTGGTTCCTTATAAAGGAGTAGCCGGGCAGACAAATAGCCACCTCATTTCTCACTGTGCAAGCCCTCAGAACAGTTTATATTCTGCCTCTCTATATTGTGAAGCCAAGCAGAGTTTCACCAATACAGAAGTCAGTGAATGTATCAACAGTGTGGAGAAGTCTGTTGAAAGCAGTGAAGTTACTAATTCCCGTGATCTTATTGAGAGCAGGACGACCAGCATCTATAGAGGCAGCACTGGCAGCGATGTTAGCGATGAGAGCAGCTCCAGTAGTTTGAGCAATGCCATGTACAAGCCCCACAAGGCAAATAATATTAGTTGGGAAGCGGTGCAAGCTGCACGATCTCATCATGATGGAACACTGGGTAAGGAGCATTTCAAGTTGCTGAGGACACTGGGATGTGGAGATATAGGCAGCGTTTATTTGGCTGAACTAATTGGCACTAAAACTTATTTCGCCATGAAGGTTATGGATAAAGCATTACTGGCAAGTAGGAAAAAACTTCTTAGGGCTCAGACAGAGAGGGAAATACTGCAATCTCTGGATCATCCTTTCCTGCCAACATTGTATACACACTTTGAGACGGAGAAGGTATCTTGTTTGGTGATGGAGTTTTGTCCCGGGGGTGATCTGCATGCACTCAGACAAAAACAACCTGGGATTGGGAAGCATTTTTCGGAGCATGCTGCTAGGTTAGATATTCCTTCATACTTCTCCTTTCAGTTTACTTTTTGTTAGTACACATACACATTTCAGTTTAGGTTACAATAGGAATCATATTTCAATAGCCTGCAGAGAAAAGGGAGGAGTAAACCTATAAACTAGAAGGACATCAAGTGTTTTGCACACGTTTATTTGCCAGTGCTGGGGACATCCTAAAGTTAATCTCCCGTTTGTTTTTGCAGGTTTTATGTGTCTGAAGTTCTTCTTGCCTTGGAATATTTGCATATGCTCGGGATCATTTACAGAGACCTTAAACCAGAGAATGTTTTAGTGAGGGAAGATGGACATATAATGCTTTCAGATTTCGACCTTTCTTTAAGATGCACCGTTTCCCCCACCCTGGTAAGATCTTCAAACTTAAGCTTGGAGACAAAGAAATCAGCATATTGTGTTCAGCCTGCATGCATCCAGCCGACTTGTGTAATGCAGCCGGATTGCATTACGCCCACATGTTTTGGTCCACGCTTTTTCAAGGGCAAACCCAAGAAAGATAAAAAGATCAAAGTGAAGAATGATAATGATGTATACAATCAAGTGAGCCCTCTCCCTGAGCTCGTTGCAGAACCGACAAGTGCTAGATCAATGTCCTTTGTGGGAACACACGAGTACTTGGCGCCTGAAATCATTAAAGGTGAAGGCCATGGCAGCGCTGTGGATTGGTGGACCTTTGGGATCTTTCTCTACGAGCTTTTGTTCGGAAGAACTCCATTCAAGGGGCACGGAAATCGGGCTACTTTGTTTAATGTGGTTGGCCAGCCTTTAAGATTTCCAGAGTCACCTTCTGTCAGCTTTGCAGCCAGGGACTTGATCAGAGGTTTACTTGTCAAGGAGCCACAGCATCGTCTTGCGTATAGGCGGGGAGCAACAGAAGTTAAACAACATCCGTTTTTCCAAAGCGTGAATTGGGCACTGATTCGCTGTACAACTCCACCCCAGGTGCCAAAGCACTACATATTGGAGACTCCTGATACCCCGAAAGAACCCATGAACGGGAAGATGCCGGGCGTTGATTTGAAGCCTTCGGGTAATTATTTAGAGATTGATTTCTTTTGATTCTTAGCCTTTTGTTTTCCTCTGATGAAAAACAAGTCTCCAACTGATTCATGTGGTTACTACATGTACACAATGGTTCCTTTCCATTGCAAGCTTTACAATCTGGTAGTTCCTGAGATTTGAGGAAATGCAATTGCATTGAAAATTTTGAGGAATGTATACTTGATGTTTATGAATCCCTTCTTCGAATAACCTGTTTATGTATCGTTCACCTTTCACCCGACATATTCATCGGAGCAGTCAAATATTCAGAATCTCTGGATCTGCACTTATTTTTCAACTCTCTGAAGCATTTCATCGCTTACTATGCCCTTTCTCGTCTCTCGTCTCTGGGTGCCTAGGTATCCACCATAAAGCCTTTATAGGTCAGGCGAACAAGATTTTTTCAATTAGGGTTGTAATTTGACATTGCCAAGTACAAATTATTTCCTTACTCTCAACATAAATAATTGAAAGACCAACATAAAAAACACGAAAATGTATGAACTGAAATGAATTTTACACATCTCTTTCTTTTTCTTACTCTAAACATAAATATTTAAATGCCGTCCCCACCCTACACTTTTTTTTTTTTTTTTTGGAAAACGATAGTTATTTCAATTGAAAACTGCTCATTTCAAACTCAAAAACAACAAGCTTCATCTTAAAAATGAATCATTATTTGAAATATACACTCCTTCATATTAAATTGCAGGGTGTGCTATTCAAACACTTTTTTCCATACAACTCTCTCAATTTTTAGCCGTCGAATTGAACGAATTGAAAAAGATAAAAGACATAAATTAACAAAGGGTGCGCGAGAAGTAAAAATAGTTGCTTAAATAACATCACCCTAAATTGTATCATTGACAAATTGACAAATTAAATTCAATAATTAACCAAAAAAAATTAAATCAAATATTAAAAGTCATTCTCAAGAAATAAATTAATGAAATAAACAAGACTTCCAGAAGTTGTCCACGTTGGACTAAGGCTTACGGCTTGACATAGTCAACGAAGTAACCGGCCTGCTTGCTTCTTTTCTTGACAGAATGTGAAGGCCGAATTACGGGTCGCCACATCATCAAGTTTATGGAATTTACAATTTCCCCCTCATTCAGTTCCTCCACCCAACCTACCGCCAAAAAATCCACCGGCAGCAGGGAATCACAAAATCAGATTGGTGCACTATCGGGTGATTTAAACCTACGCGCTTGTACCCCACTTCCCGGGTGCAGAGAGTGGTCCTCCTCCGTTTGTGGGACCTTCCATTTTTGCGTGCACGAATGATCTTTTAGCTTCCCTCCAATATGATCGGAAATATCAAAAGGTATATGCATGAACTACAAATCAAATCCCACGCGCTCATTCCCACGCGTTTCGATTCCGATCTTCAGAAACCCCATCGTGCGCCGTATGCACATTGCGCACCTACACCCATACCGACACCGCCGTTCGCTCCTCAACCTCCTCATTATATCAACTCCAACAACCACACAACAACGCTCCTTCCCTCTCATCTTTTCCCTCTCATCGTTTTCAACTTCAACCCCGGCTAAGCCCCTCCTTCCTCCTCTCCGAGCCCTAGCAATGGCCTCCGACGGCCTCTCTGCCGCCGTCACGGCCGCCGAAGACGAGAAGTTCGGTTTCAAGAGATCGGAGATGTTCAAGGAAAAACTTGCCGGTACCGTCAACGCCTACGACCGCCACGTCTTCCTCTGCTACAAGACCCCCGAGGCCTGGCCGTCGCGCGTCGAAGGCTCTGAGTCCGATCCGCTCCCTAAGTTCTTCGCCTCCGCTCTCAAAGCTCGCAAGAACGACATCGCCGTTAAGGTCCTTTTTGTAGCTCAATTCATCGGCGTTTCTGATTGCTTTTTCTTACCGTTTCTTATTCCCTGGAGCTACTGAGTTCTAGTGTTGAGCTGAGTTGACTCCGTTACTCACCTTGTTTCTTGGTTTTTGGTAGACGTTGCTGACAGTAATTGAAGGACGCGAAGGAACTGAGTTTTCCGACGGCGATGTGTTGATTTTCCCACAAATGATCAAATGCAGGTAAATTCACGTTGATTTCTTGAGGTCTTTGTATTGTGTAGTTGCTTTAACTTTAATCGGAATTTATAGGATTTAGATAATTAACTAGTGAGTGGTGTTTTGATTCTTCAGATTTGCATTATTTGACTTGTACATTTCGATGATTGCTAGCTACAGACAGAGTTTATGATTTTTCAATTTCGATGTATGAAGTCTCAAATCGAGCTAATTTAGTGTGTTTTGGACTAGTTTTGGTGTTGATACCTTGAAATTTTCCTTGTTTAATCTGAGCTGAGGTAATAGTGATTTTCAAGAGATTTCTTGATGTGCCGGAACACTGCCTGGTACCCTAAGAGTAATAATACAATTGGTTGTAAACTTTCAAGTTTTCAACCAATTGTATTATGACATTTGGCGTACTGGGCCGTGTTCTTGAACCTAAAAAAGTTCTCGTGATTTTCATGGAAATTGATTGAATGGAAGTTACGACCGCATTTAGTGTTTTATTTCTGTTTTGACTTCTCTTTTGATTACGAGATTGTGCTAAATTTACTGCATTAAATAGATAATTAGATATGTGTTAGCTTCTGAAATTAGTTCTAGGAATTGAATTTAATGGCTCAGTTTATGACTAATTCCTTGCCTTACAAGGAATTGAAGAGTGTTAGGTTATTGTTTACTGTAAATTTCTTTTTGTGACTCTGAGGTTGTTTTTGTTTCTCGATCAAAGGGGCTTGAAAGAGTCGGATGTGGACAGCTTTGTTGATGATGTCCTTGTGAATGACAAACCATGGGCTTCCGGAGTGCAAGAGGCGTTGACTGGCTCCCATGTATTTGTATGTGCACATGGTAGTCGAGATAAAAGATGCGGTGTTTGTGGACCTGTTCTCATTGATAAGTTCAAAGAGGAGGCTGAGCTGCGAGGATTGACGAATCAGGTATTTGTTACTGCTTGCTCTCACATTGGAGGCCACAAATATGCTGGAAACTTGATTATCTACAGCCCAGGTTCAGATGGAAGCATAACAGGCCATTGGTAATATCCGGATCATAACAATTTAAAATTTATTGTATTGGGATTTGGGATTGATGAAGGAATGTGAATATTATGTATTATTCATTGCAGGTATGGCTATGTCACTCCTGATGATGTGCCAGAATTGCTTGATCAGCATATTGGGAAGGGAGAGATCATCGAACGACTTTGGAGGTTTGTGCGTTTTTGGTTTTGCTTACCCCCTTCTGATGAAAATTTCACTGGAACTGAAGCGTCTGTCATATTTTTCAATTGCTGATTATTTCTAGTGTTGTATGATAGATTATTGATATAGAGTTGCATTAACATCGAGGAACCAAATCAAACTAGTGTGAACCAAATCAAACTACCTTTTTTTGTTGATAAACCAAACCAGAGGTGGTTTGGGGAACAGGGGATGGGGTCAAGTAGGCACTTTACAGAGATGGAGAAAGCGAAATAGATCTAGCGAATTGGATATAACGGCATTACCCTGTATATGTTTCTGATTTGTAATGTTCTCTGATTAATTGTTGTCAAATTGTGTATTAAGCTTGGTCATACATGTTCTTACTCAATAGCTATTGACGAAACTTAGAGTTGAATCTTTAAATAACTGAACACGAAATTCAATTTCATTCCTTACAGGGGCCAAATGGGAGTATCTTCTGATGAAGCTGAAAAAATGAATGACATGAAGCTTTCAAATGGAGGAGAAAGTAAGAAAATCCAGGAGAAGCCCCAAGAAAACGGCAATCAGATTCAGAAAAACGAGAACTTTTCGGGCTGTTGCCAAGGTGCTAATAGTAATGGATTTACATGCTGCAAAGAAGTAAGTTTGGAGCAGAATGGTGGAAGTGAGAAAAAGAAGCTGAAAGAAACCAGAGAGTCGTGTGCCAGGAAGGATGCCTTAGGGAAGCTGTCAAGCTTGATTGGGAACTGGGAACAAAGCGATGTTCTTGCAGCTGCTGCCATGGTTGGAGCAGTGGCAACAGTGGCCGTGGCCTATAGCTTTTATAGAAGGTCAGGCTGAAACGTACTCTATATGATAGGAGAATATGGTAGCTACAGTATACGTTCGTTTTTGGAGGGTGGGATGATTTCCCGGGGCTAAGCTGTATATAGTTACAAAAGTATTCACCATTCCTTTCCGTAGTTGATTGCTTACACAACTGATTTGTATACTTGAATGGTTTTATCTTGATAGTGGGATTTGTTCTGAGACTGCTTTGATGTGGTGTTTTCTAAGCTCTTGTGATTGTTTTCGATTTGCTTGCTGGACTTTTAATTCAACCGTCGATTCTGTTAAAATTTATGATAATTTTTGTCAAAAAATTCTCAAATTTCAAAAGAGAGAAAAAGGCCTCGTAGATAGCAAAGCTCAGAGTTTGGTCGAGATCATCGTCCACTGCTGATCTTTGCAAGCATCTCCTCCACCAGCCTCAATACCGTTGTACTCATCCCATCAATTCCCCCCCTCCCCCCGGTATCAATGTCCTGCATAATCTGCTCTATATCCTTATTCCCGACTGCTTGTTTCTCGAACCATAATTGGAACAGTCTTTCAAGAGAAACAGCAACTCCTGTGCCGTGGATTTAGCCCTCCACGTCCCATCCACGCTCAGCTGAAGCAGTCTGGGCATTGCTCTTCTCTCAGTATTAGTCCTCTGTACTTCTCCCTGCAGCTCTGGCATAGAAGCAGGAAGATACTCGCAGCGTGCTCCTTGCATTTCATCGATTCCTCTTCAATGGTCTCAACCAGCCCCCAGATTGTGTCGCACATACCTGCAGTTTCCTTGAGCACAGTCTTCGATGAAGAAACAATGTCGTCAAGTAGCGCAATTGCCTTCTCAACCAGTTGGCTTGATTTTTCCAAGCCGTGGATTATTTGGAACAACGAAAACACTAAGCCTGAAGAGACGTAGTCTGATGGCAGGTCGAGAGGTTGTGTAGTGTGGCTATGCTTTCGAGTCTGGCTTGCACCGATGCCTGCAGCATAATCTTGATCGAGAAATTCAACTATTAGTTGGATGCCTCCGTGTGGTGCAATTGGTAGCTTGTTTCCCTTGCAAGACGATAGGATCAAAAAAGCTGCCATAGTGAGCTCGACCATCGCCTTGCTTTCGTAGCTAAATTAATCATTTTTTATGCAAGTAAATGACTTATTTTACGACATTGATCCTTTTGACGTAAGCTACAAATGTCTCCTCGTAGCTAAATTTAGTTAGTTACTATTCACAAAGTAAAGACAGATGGTCATTTAGTTAGCCTGTTGGAGCTTAATTTTTTGCATATTTTGTTAAGATGGGTTGTTGGAGATGAGGTCTCTTCCCATTGATACTCTCTAGACTGACTCCAACAGTTGGAACCTGCTTTGCACCGAAGATTCTTATAACGCTGTCGTGACGTCCACCAGCAGCCGCAGTTGAACCTACCTGCGCACCAACCTTAAAATACAGTTTTTATTAAAATTTGATGGTAACATTTATACAAATTAAATTGTGGGAGGAATAGCACTCACGCGTTATCGACACGGCAGTGACATCATTGACCCACGCAAAAAAAATTTAAAGGGCCGCCTACACTGGGGAATCTTGGGAAAGAGTTGACTTTGGTTATTTGAAAGCCAAGCTGCACTTCTACAGGCTGCAATGGATACCACCAGCTCCGCCCATGGAGCTGGCTCTGCCGCCTCTTCGTCTTCCTCGCAGAGCTCAAACCGCTGGAAGTACGAGGTGTTCCTGAGCTTCAGAGGAGACGACACGCGCACTACCTTCACAGACCACCTCTTCATTGCGTTACGCAATGCCGGAATTAAGACGTTTATAGACAACCAGCTCACAAGGGGGGAAAACATACAGAGTGAACTTGACCAAGAAATCGAAGGGTCGAGAATTGCCGTCATCATCTTCTCGAAGAGGTACGCGGAGTCCCGGTGGTGCCTGAGGGAGCTGTCGAAGATCATGAGGTGCCTAAAAGATCAAGAGGGGAAAATAGTATGTCCAATATTCTACGACGTTGACCCTTCTCAAGTCAGGAAACAGAAAGATAGTTTTGGGGAAGCATTTCAGAAGCATGAAAAGGATGAAGATCCAAATGAGGTCAAGCAGTGGAGAGAGGATCTTAAGGCTTCTGCAGATTTGGGCGGCTGGAACCTCAAAACCACGGCCGACGGGTACACTTTTTTGTTTACTTCAAATTTCATATCACCATATTTCACTAATCAACCAAAATTAAGATATTATAATTAAGGCATTGAATCTGATTTTATATGCAACAACAACAACAACAAAGCCTTTTCCCACTAAGTGGGGTCGGCTAGAATCTGATTTTATATGCGATAAGAAAAATTGAATCGTTGATCTCTGAACTATGATAGAACTGTCACTTTAGTCCCTACATAAAATTTTATTACAATTGCTATATGAATTTTATTAAAGGTAGAGCATTTGCATAAGAATTTCCATCAAAATTAAGGAAGTGAAACGCAGAGTACATGCTTTGTTTTTTATGGGTGTGTGAAGGACAAATGCTCCACAATTTATCAAATTAAAATACCAATTGTAATGGATTCTTAATTATATTACTGAACGCTACAATTGCATAATAGTCTAATCACCAATGATCTAATGTATTCACATTATAATCAAAGATTAGATACGTGGTTGAAGCTCAATTAATCCAGTTTATTCAAATCTGTTTCAATATGTAAATATCTAGTCATTATGAATAAGGCATTTAGTATGGCTCTCGTAATTTGGAATTTCTATTCGTAGGCGTGAAGGAGTGTTTATCAAGAAAATTGTTGGGGATGTCAAGGGACTACTGAAAACCACAGACTTTAAAGAAGCCAAGCACTCAGTTGGAATGACTTTTCGCGTGCAAAAATTCAGTACTAATTACTTAGACGTTGGAGGTTCACCTAATGTTCAAATAATTGGAATTTGGGGTATGGGCGGTATAGGTAAATCAACGCTTGCCAAAGCTGTTTGTAGCAATTATCAGCATAGTTTTAGTCGTCAATGTTACCTTGAAGATGTGAGGAGTAAAAAGAAAGAGATGGTTAGTCTGCAAGAACAACTTCTTCGAGATATTTTAAAACAGCCTGACATTAAGGTAAGCAGTGTTGCCGAAGGGACCGAAGAGATCAAGAAAAGACTTGGAAGCATGAAGGTACTTGTCGTGGTTGATGACATAGATGATGCAGACCAATTAGATGAATTGGCAATAGAACATGAATCGTTTGGTCCAGGGAGCAGAATTATTATAACAACAAGAGATGAACAAGTGCTGAATATACAAAAGGTGGATAAAAAATATATGGCATAAGCAATGACAGAGAAAGAAGCTCTTGAGCTCCTTAGTTGGCACGCCTTTGGAAATCCTTGTCCCGACGAAGAATATATTGAACTCGCAAGAGATGTTGTTGACTATTGTGGAAGATTGCCCCTAGCTCTGAAAGTTGTTGGTCGTTTGTTGGCTACGAAAAAGAGTAAAACCATGTGGCAAAATACATTGGATAAATTGAGAAATATTCCAGATGGAAAAATTTATGAAACACTTAAATTAAGCTACGATGGGCTACGTGATGATCATGTGAAGGGTGTGTTCCTTGACATATCTTGTTTCTTTGATGGAGTGAGTATAAGTGATGTCACAACAATATTGGATGGTTCTAGTCGTTTTTCTGTAGAAGCAGAAATTACCACACTCTGCGATCGATGTCTCTTATATATTGATGAAGCTACAAATTTGAGAATGCATGATTTGATTCGAGATATGGGAAGAGAGATTGTGCGTGCAGAATCTCCTGTGGAATTGGGAAAACGTAGTTGATTGTGGCATAGTAAAGATGCAAAAAGCGTGCTAAGGAACAAATCTGTAAGTACTTTTGCAATAAAAAGATGTTATGTTAAGTACATGTAAAGAAAGAGAAGTATATACGCATATCCGCATATATATAATGTATGCCGTACATAGTATATTTGAAGAAAAAGAAGAAAAGAAAAGGCTTTCATCCACTGTAAATTGAAAGAGAAAATAACTAATTATGTTGTATGCCCTACCTTTGTAGTAGTTCATTCATCCAATTCACGGCTCTGCTTCGTGTGAATATTATCCTTTTCTTTTTTTTTCTTTTTTTTTTTATCTCTAACAGGGAACAGAAGCAGTTGAAGGACTAAGGTTACTTTTGCCAGAACATTCTGATGACGAGCAAAGCTTCAGTACGAAAGCGTTTAAGAATATGCGACGTCTGAAATTTCTCGCGCTGAAACATGTAAAGCTGACTGGAAGCTACAAACATCTTTCCAAGGAGTTAAGTTCCTTGCTTTGGATTGGATTTCCTTTTGAAGCCATACCAGCAGATTTTGATCCAAGAAACCTGGTTTATTTAGGCCTGTGGGACAGCAAGCTTGTACGAATTTGGGAGGATTCGAACCTGGTACGATATAATTATCAATGTCCTTGTAAATATGAACATCAGTCATCGTCATGCATTCTCTCTTTTATTTATTTGGATTTTTATTATTGTTTTCTCTTTTTTGAGTAACAGTTGCCTAAGAAGTTGAAGCGTCTCACTCTTGGAAACTGCCATAACCTGACTGAATTACCAGACTTTTCAAAACTCCCACATCTTCGGAACTTGACCATCAAAGGCTGTAAGGGTTTGTGTGGGGGTTACCATTTTTTAGCACAACTGAAGATGATCGAGAGATTAATTCTCAGAGACTGCAATATAACAGATGGTGCCGTTCTCGAAAGCCTTGGGCGCCTATCTTCTTTAACAGAATTAGATCTAGGTGGGAATGGTTTTAATAGGCTACCCATTCTCAGTGGCCTTCTCATCTTCAGGTTTTATATCTACGTCATTGCACAAACCTTCAGGCAATCCCAGATTTGCCGAACAGTTTGCAAACATTGAAAGCGAGTTACTGCACTGCACTGGAAATAATGTCCGACTTTTCAAAGATGTCAAAAATGAGGAAATTGGAACTGAAAGACTGCCGCAACCTCAAAGATATTCCAAACTTGGAGAACTCATTGGACAACATGTATTCAATTCATATGGAAGGGTGTACCAGTCTCACTGATACTTTTAAGGAGAACCTCCGAACGGTGTGGTACTCTCTCTCTCATTCTCTCTGCTTTTTGTATTGTTGCTTATACTGACTTTGCACCCCATGTTGTAGAAAAATGCATTTGGTGGAATTTTTCTCTCCGGAAATGATATTCCTAACTGGTTAGCCTATGTCGCCGGAGAGGATAAAACTGTCAAATTTGAAGTGCCGCCAAGTACTGATTATATAGGAGGGTTGGCTTTGGGCATCGTTTATTCTTCAGACAACTCCGACTCTACCGGGTATCTATACATTGATGTTGTTAATCGTACCCAGCGAACTAATTTTCGCATCCGGACAATTAAGGCCACCATAACTGCTTTCCATAAAAATTATCTTTGGTTGGGAAATCTTTCAAACAAGAAGCTCAATCTGAAAGGCGGCGACATTGTTCTTGTAAAAGCAGAATTTTATGGAGGATATAATAGAATTAAGGTGAACAAAACAGGAGTGGATATTGTAAAATGGAATTTGTCTAATGGTCTTACTAATTGGGAGGACTATGAGACTATATCATATAAGTCTAATGAAGACATTGATGACGATACAAAGTTGAGCTATCGCCACGTTTTCCTCTGCTACAAGACCCCCGAGGCCTGGCCATGGCACATTGAAGGCTCCGAGTCCAATCCACTCCCTAAGTTCTTTGCATCCGCTCTCAAAGCTCGCAAGAACGACATAACCGTTAAGGTCTGTTTTCCAGCTCAATTCGTCGGTGTTTCTAATTGCTTTTTATTTCCGTTTCTTATTTCCTGAAGTTGCTGAGTTCTGGTGCTGAGCTGAGTTGACTACATTACTCACTTTTTTCTTGGTTTTTGATAGACGTTGCTGACAATAATTGAAGGACGCGAAGGAACTGAGTTTTCCAATGGCAATGTATTGATTTTCCCACAAATGATCAAATACAGGTAAATTCGCGTTGATTTCTCGAGGTTTTTGTTCTGTAGTTGCTTTAATTTTAATCAAAATTCATACGATTTAGATAATTAACCAGTGAGTGGTTAATTTTAATCTGATTCATAACAATGAATTGAAACCGCAGTTGAGTATTTCTTAACAATACAACAGTAATAAGAATAAGTATATTAAGCAAGCTTGAGAGGTAAGCAAGGGAACAACAATGTCGCACTGGAGTAATCTGAAGCAATAACTTATAACTATTCAAGATGGCACATAAAAGCTTAACTTGGTGGATGAAAAGAGTTCGAATGGTGGTTTGATTATGGAATACTGAGAGTGTTGTCTTACCTATAGCTACATTGAAGAATGCCATGTAAAATTGCTTACGACAAGAGACTAAAACATGAACCGACCCACGTTCCCACCCGGACGTTAACAATTCTCTGTTCAAGCAGAGAAACAATCAAAACAAACTCATGTGCCAACAAAATGCTAAATTAGTAAGAATACTCCACTGGAGACAAAATCTAGAGCTGTTATTGGCATTTAGAAAACTAAGTCGTAATACCGTTATTCGAAAACCACCGATTGCTATTCAAAAACTGAGCCATATACTATTAAAACTAAGCCGTATGCTATTGAAACGAATTATTTCCTTACTACAACCAACACTTCCAATATCAAAAGAGAAAGAAATATTAGTATACGACGCATTAGCAGAAAAGTGCCACATTACATACCATCAAAAGACAGCAACTAACTCCTGATATCAACTGCTGGAAGAAAAACCTTGCCTGATGCAAAACGACAATTAAATCGAAAAAGTATGCAAGTTTTAGTTATATTATGACCGACTGTTTATGTAAAAATGCTTCAGACCTAACTTTCCCTATCTGAAACTAAACGAAAATCGAGATGCATTCCATTTCAGGGGACATCCAGAGATCCCATATTTGAGACTCTACACTAAAATCATTTCCAATGAAATTTTCTCTGCATTTGAAACTACTTTATCTCATCCTCACTAAATCTGCCAACACTACATATTCTCTCAAAGAGTTCTCACCCTGCCATGTACTCCATCACAATGGCTAGATGAGGTGGTGTGAGCAGAACCAGCAAGAAAGACACCGCACTACTCTCAAGTCTTAAACACAAACCTCTTTATCAATTATCACAAATAAGCAACTCTAAAGACTATTTCCACTTCACAGTAAAAACAAAGTGCAAGAAGTATAGCTATATTTTTAGCATAGTAATTTTGACAACAATTTTGCAAGTGGTGGAATGCTCCGGTGGGTAGGGCATTTCTCTTAGGGGATGTGATATCCACACACCCCATTTTACTTCTCACACACCCTTCTAATTTTCGGCCGTCGGATCGGATGAATTGAAGAAGATCAAGGGACAAAAATTAATAAGGGGTGTGTGGGAAGTAATTTGGGGTGTGTGGATATCACACCCCTTCTCTTAGTCCTACTACATCCTGGGCTCAAAGTTCTAACCATCCCCCGTACCAGTTTAAGCACACCAAAGGCCAAATTTAGCATGTTCTGTCTTCATCCACCCACCCTCAGCAGATACTTATACAAAATTCAAACAGAACTTGCCAAATTCATTCTTAAAATACAAAATGAAAATAGTTTATGATCACTGACCTCTTTGAATTAAACGATATTCAGATGCAGTGATATGTGGTTCATGATTTCCCCTTGAACATGTTCATCTATCTGCATCACCAATTTTTTTTTTTAGAAAAAAAAATACAATGTTTAAAGAATGAGAGAAATAAAGAAAATTCAGAAAAAGGGAAGATATAAGAGTCGAAGAATACAGAACCAAAACATCCAAGACTTGCCCACCAAGATAATCAAGACATCCAAGACTCACCCACCACCCAGCTAGCTAGCAAACACACACCTAAAGGCTAAAAAGGATACGGTCTTCATCAAATTAGGTGAGTCTTGGATGTTTTAGCTATGGTCAACCTAAACCAAAATCAAGAGACAAATAAACAAAGGTATGCATAAATCATTTTCTTTCCGTTAACTTTAATTAATAAGATTGGGTTTGGATCTATCTTAGTCTGCTTTCTGACGTTAACATGTAAGAGTAGAATGTAGTACTACAGAGAGAAAGCCATCATTGCAAACCTATATCATGGCAAGCAAGGCAGACTCACTCTCACCTCCATATATTACCAAATCTTAGTCCATATGATTTTGCCAGAGCTACCTAATCTGTTGAATGTTCTATAACATCAACATTATAAAGGTTTCAAATTGAATCATACATTTAAAATCCGAGCATGAAAGCTTTACATAGATAAATAAACAAATGTAAATAACTAATTAGGCAATACACAACAGAAAAGAGAGAAAGAGAGAGAGAGAGAGAGAGAGAGAGAGAGAGAGAGGGCATACATGGTTGCCAAGAAAAGGAAGAAAGCAATTCCATTTCCTGTAAAAACGAAGAAACAGAGCATTAACAAACCCACACGCACAATTCTCAAAGGAAATTGGTAAGAGATAATCCCAATTGAGAAAATAATCAGAAAACCAGAGAGGAAAGTTCTGAAACTCAATAAAGACTCCGAACAAATCCTTGAGTGCATGCATTGTTTTTTATCAATTTCAACCAAATCTTGAAACGAAAGAGAAAAGCAGAGAACCGAGTTGAGGAAAAGCCTTAAGAGAATCATGTAGTCGCCTTTCTAGCTCCTATGTCCCTTACTCCCTCACTCTTTCTCTCTGTACCCCTTCCCCTCAACCCCACCCCCATACTTTTCCCCATCTCTCTCTCTCTCTGCAACCAACGTCAGCGGACAGAACCCACCCTCTATCTCCACCCCCAACCCTTCCCATCAACCCTCTGTCCACCCCCAACCCTTCCCATCAACCCTAAACTCGATGACACCCTCTGCCTCTCTGCACGATCTCCTTGACGAGATCGAAAGCAAGCTAACACCCCCAACCGAATTGCAGAACACAAACGCCCCAAATGGTGGCCGTTGGATTAGGACTAAAGGGGCAAAATAGTCATTTGATCTTTCGGTGAAACCCAGCCCAAAACAAGTGAGAGCTGCACCCTGGGCCCAAATGCAGCAGCCCAACCCAGCTGTTAAGCACCGCCCACACTAACACAGAATGGAAAACCGAAATTAATTCATAATCGAGGGCCCATTCCATAACCAACATGAGCAGTGCAATTTATTTTCCTAGCTTAGACTGAAGTAATTTATGTTTCGACTTCTCATTTGATTACGCTGAATTTACCAAACTAAATAGATAATTAGATATGTGTTAGCTTCTAAAATTAGTTCTAGAAATTGAATTTAATAGCTCAGTGTTAAAGAGTGTTAGGTTATTGTTTCCTGTAAATATTTTTTTGTGATTCTGATGTTGTTTTTGTTTATTGATCAAAGGGGCTTGAAAGAGTCAAATGTGGACAACTTTATTGATGATGTCCTTGTGAATGACAAACCATGGGCTTCTGGAGTGCAAGAGCCGTTGACTGGCCCCCATGTATTCATATGCGCACATATGAGTCAAAATGAATGGAATCGTTATCGTGCACGTGTTCTCATTGATAAGTTCAAAGAGGAGGCTGAGCTGCGAGGATTGACGGATCAGGTATTTGTTACTGCTTGCTCTCACATTGGAGGCCACAAGTATGCTGGAAAACTCATGATCTACAGCCGAGATTCAGATGGAAGCATGACATGCCATTGGTAATATCCGGATCATAAAAATTTAAAATTTATCGTATTGGGATAGATGAAGGAGTTTGAATATTATGTATTTTTAATTGCAGGTATCCCTTCGTCACTCCTTTTGACGTGGCGAAATCACTTGATAAGCATATTGGGAAGAGAAAGATTACAGAACGACTTTGGAGGTTTGTACGTTTTTGGTTTTGCCTACTGCCTTTGGATGAAAATTTCACTGGACAGAAGCTTGTGTTGTCATATTTTTCAATTGATGGTTATGTCTAGTCTTGTATGATACATTTATTGATATAGAGTTACATTAACATCGAGGAACTTTAGTGGAGAAAGCACATAAGAATTGGATATAATTGCATTACCCTGTATATGTTTCTGAATTGGATGTAACTGCATTACCCTGTATAAGTTTTTGATTAATTGTTGTTAGATTGTTTATTAAGCTTGATCATACATGTTCTTACTCAATTGCTATTGAAGAAACTTATAGTTGAATCTTTAAATAGCTGAACACGAAATTCAATTTCATTCCTTATAGGGGCCAAATCGGAGCATCTTTTGATGAAGCTGAAAAATCTAATGACCAGAAGCTTCCAAATGGAGGAGAAAATAAGAAAATCAAGAAGCCCCAAGAAAATGGCAATCAGAGGGGGACGAAGCGGAAGCGAGAATGTCGGCTTGGGAAGGGAGAGATTATAGAACGACATCGGAGGTTTGTCCCTTTTTGGTTTTGCCTACTATCTTTAGATGAAAATTTCACTGGACGGAAGCTTGTGTTGTCATATTTTTCAATTGCTGATTGTGTCTGGTCTTGTATGATAGATTAATTGATATAGAGTTACATTAACATGGAGGAACTTTTGTGGAGAAATCACAAAAGAATTGGATATAATTGCATTATCCTGTATATGTTTCTGATTTATAATGTTGTTTTGTTTATAAAGCTTGACCATGTCCTTGCTCAACTGCTATTGATGAAACATAGAGATGAATCCTTAAATAGTTGAACAAGAAATTCAATTTCATTCCTTACAGGGGCCAAACTAGAGCATCTTCCGATGAAGCTGAAGAAATTAATGATCGAGAGCTTCCAAATGGAGAAAAAAAAAAGAAAATCGAGGAGAAGCGTTGTTACCAGGGTGCTAATAGTAATGGATCTACATGCTGCAAAGAAGTAAGTTTGGAGCAGAACCATTGTTCTAAAAATTGGCCTAGGCGACGCCTATATGGCGCTGGGCGGTGGAGCCCCGCCCTTATTTTGGGCAAGGCGTTTGGAAAAATCGTCTGGAAGCTAAGCGGGCCTAGGCGGAGAGCTAGGCGGCACCTAGGCAATCCTAGGCAGTTTTTTTAATATTTTTTTATTAATTGTGTGCTTTTTTATTTTTTGGTTTTATTGTGGTATACTTATGGAAATGGTGTACCTAATTTGCACATGATGGATTTTCTTGGTAGAAAGATGTTATAACGTCAATTAAATAACCCTCCGGACCGTACTCATATGAAAGGAGAAATCGAATAAACTGTTTAATGGTTTTATCTTGATTGGGATTTGTTATGTGACTACTTGCTAAATGTTGACGTGGTATGTCCTAAGTTCTTGTGATTGTTTTCGATTTGCCCGTTGGACTTATAATTCAGCTGCTAATTCTATCAAAATTTATGGTAATTTTGTGAAAGAATCTTAATTTTGTTGTTTATGAATTTCGAAAGAGAGAAAACAACATTGTTGTCCTCGTCGTTTATTCAATAAACGAGATACAAGACTGTGTGCTAACATCTTAATCTGCTTAAACTATTTTTCAGATATACTGCATTGTTGTCACAAATTTTACCTTCATTCTAGAATAGTTTTTCTTTTATTCTTATCGTGGTTCTCAAACTCAATCTCATGTGGTACTTCAATTATATCCGTTAACTCAATTTATTTTTCTGTTAAATATAGATGACATTGCAAGGATTTGTACATCCACCTCCTTTTTTTTTTCTTTCATTTTATAGGTTGTGGGATGAATTTTAAATTTATCATCTTTACTTAACAAAAAAATAGATGAAGTCGACAAAAAGGATATAAAAAAAAGTCATGCTATAGCGAGTTTGAAGATCATATAAAACAAATAAAATGAAGATAAATGACAAATTCAGGAAACATCGATGTAATTAACCCTATTTGTTTTCTATATGTACAAAATATCAAAGGCATTTCTATGACACTTACGTAGACAAAATTTTACTTGCCCTATATGCTGATTTGTTCACTTTACCACCTAAACTTTTATTAGGTTTCTCACTTTACTTTATTCTTTTAACTTTGTTAGCATGAAAGGGATGAAGATCCAGATGAGTACGAGCAATGGAGAAAGGATCTAAAGGCTTCTGCAGATTTGGGTGGCCGGAATCTTAAAACCACAGCGGACAGGTGTTTTAATTCTTCCTCTAAATTTAATTCCAACGTCTTGTATTAGCTTCTAAGACTCATTAATCCACCAAAAATAAGGAGATTATGATCAGACTTTGATTTCATACGTTTATAGGAAAAAACTTTGGAGCATTGGTAATGCGTGAAGGACGAATCCTTCGTATGTCAAACCCATATACTAATTCTAATGGATTTCTAATTGTATGACTAAAAGCTATAATATGGTTTAGTGAGGGCAAACAAACACCTTGTTATAGTTCAGGAGCAATTTAACTGGGCTTAACTACACGGTTACAATGCATTTCGGAAACACAGTTGAATTGAACTTAACTAATCATCTTGATCAAATCTAATTTATTCAAAATGTTTTCGCTACCAAAATATCTAATCATGACGAATGAGGCATTTAGTTGAAATAAATCTTGCAGTTGCATGATGAATCTTACTTTTGTATAATTTTGAATTTTAACTGCGAGACATGAATGATTATTTATCGAGAAAATTGTTGGAGACATTAGGGGACTACTGAAACTACAGACTTAAAAAAGCCAAGCACTCAGTTGGAATAGCTTTTCGCGTGCAAGAATTCAGTACTAAATACTTGGATGTTGGAGGTTCACCTGATGTTCAAATAATTGGAAGTTGAAGTATGGACGGTATAGGTAAAATAACGATTGCAAGAGCCATTTGGAGTATGTTGTTTGGTATAGTTAAGGAAAGTGATGATACAACTCTTCAACAACCCACATCTTTGTAAGGATCATTTAGTTCAGTGTTTAAATTATTGACTCGTTATTTTTTATTTGTTGTTAGTTCGCCTAATCACCAAATGAATTGTGCAATTCCTTCTTTTGTTTCGTTGATAATATTTGCCTTACAGTTGATTTCCAGCGGGATGCTTGATATTTCTAAGTATATGGTATGGTTCTTGCATACTGGGACCAAAATATTAGCATGTCTTTTTGTCTTTTAATGAATCCAAAGATGTGTTTAAAATAAAGAGCAGTAGATTTGAACTAGGAGACAGACAACTTTTCAGTGTGCCAGAATACAACCCGGTACATCAAGTATCATCATACAAGTGGTTGACTTTTTTTTTTTTCAAGTATCCAATCACTTGTGTGATGACACTTGATGTATCAAGTTGTATTTTCGGCACACTGAAAAATCTCTCATAAGAATCGCGATAAAATATGTCATAATAATTTGACATCGAACTTGTGCAACACCTCTCACATATCTATTTGCCTTAACCTCTATACTACAGTCCATTTTCCTCCAACCTGATATCTAAGTCACACATCCTTATTGTCTATGTCATATTTGTCACATTCAAGTTTCGGAAACGCCAGAGTAATGTGTTTTACTTTCTAATAAGACATTGGTAATTCAATTATTGTGATGGGTTTTTGGCCTTAGTGGCTACCAAAGGGGCACTTTCTGGAAGCCCCAATTGTATCATTGTGTTGTATTCGTCTTCTTATCGCCCATTTACCTTTCTTTTTCTCTGACAACATTTTCTTATCCTTCATAGAATCTAGGAAATAAATAAAAGTCACATATCTTCCATTTTCTTGCAGAATTGTTCTTGGTTAATTTAGTTAGAGTAGTGTGTATGTGTTTTATGTCTATGCACATCTTGAAAATATTCTCTTTATCAAATCTTAGAATCTATGATATAAATAGACATTTTATTATTGTATATGAATAATTTAATTAAAACAATATGTTTATTGCATGGAGTTTTGACTCGATAATTTAGTTTAAATTAATTAAAAGATTGCTCAAATACATGTGTATTTTCCACTGAGGATTGGTTGAGTTGTAAGGTCTATGTTTGAGTTCCATTGTAAGCAACCATTTTTTGTGCAAGATCTATAAAAACAAAAAAAGGACTAAGACCCCTTGTGTAAGTTCTCGAGGATACTTGTGGTATGCCTTGGCCTTGATGGATTAGCTTTCCTTTCCCCTAAACTTTTAAAAATCAAATATATAAATCAGTTATTTAGTAGTCACTTATATTACGATTTAATAATATTCATTTTGACTAGTAAATGAGGAGAAATTTTTCAGTGTGGTGCGAACACTGAACATGACTCGATACACCAAGTGTCATAATAAAATAGTTTGAAATTTTATTTTTTAAGTTTCCAACCAATTGTATTTTTACAACGTGTTTCTAGTAAATTGAAAAATCTCTCATACATGAGAAGTCTTAAGTTCAATTATCGTCAAGGTAAATTTGAACCAAATTATTATGACTATCTCATTGTGAAGCTTAACTCACTCCCTCCACCACTTAATGTACATAATATCATATTATTAAAAAAAAATATTTATTGAGTAATTATTTTACTTTATTATAATCTAAATTACCTATCAACGAAACTCTCTTAATCAATCAAAAGAGAGTGCAAAGACCAAATTAACTTAAATAAATTAATAAATTAAAAGTTATGGATAATATAGTAAATTGCACACAAAATACTTTTAATTTTTTTTCCCAAATCTTATAACTAAGTAATCATATCAGTTGCCTTGTAAACTTTTAGTTAAAGAAATATTTATTCAGAACTAGTAATCAAATATATGAACAGTCTCATTCAGCGACGCAAAATCATTTGAAGTTCATAAAGAAAAAAATCTAGAAATCAATTTACATTTTCTCTTATTATAAATATTTACGGTTGCTAGTATAAATAAGGGAAAATTAATTAGAAAGGAAGAAAAACAAAGGAAACACACTATTCTCTGACAGAGACTAGTTTATCTTTGGATCTAGAAGACAAGACAATAATATTCCACTCGCGGAGAAGGCCAATAGATTAATCTCAACTGAACTCACTTACCACCCGCCCACCGCCTCCGTCGCCGCCACCAAGTTCCCAAATCCCCACCTGGATCCTCTCAGTTTCATCCTCCTCTGCCTTGCTCAACTCTATCTGCTTGCTCTTCTACTGATTCCTCTCTCTCCCTAATTCCCAATAATAAATCTAATCCACTCCCACTGATAGAGCTCTCATCAGTGACCATTTTTATATGGAGGTGGATTGTCTGTCCTCCTATTTTCATACTTTTTTCATTCTCTTTATGTATGGTCATGGTTAAGTCACGTCAACATTTTATATTAATTTTTATAAAAATAATAAAACAAAAAGTAATAGGAATATAAAATGTTTACGTGGTTTAACCATGACCACACAAACAGAAAGGAATTGAGAGAGTATGGAAATGGGAGGACAAACAATCCATCTCCTTTTTATATTGTAGGGTTGTTGGTGGGTGCCTCGGGGATTTTATTCTTTGCCCCCTACACAAAAGGCACACCCTATATTTGTAGGATACTCAACCGTGATTCCGGGGATGGGTCTGTTTTCTGAAACCTACAGTACCAAGCAAGTCCTTTTATTATAGAAAGTCTTCATCTTTCTCCCTCTCCAATCATACAAAGTCTACTGATTTTATTACTTTTTTCCATTTTTATCCTGACCAAAGCTTTAATCTTTACTTCAAATGTGGTCCTACAAATAAAGGGTACCCTTTGTTTTGGTTAATTAGTCAGTGTATGTTGTTCTTGTTTTAGAATTTTAGAGAGAGAAAATTATGGGATCTGGTAATGGGGTTTATTCAGTTGGGGATTTCGATTTGGATGCCAAGTGGCTGATTGATCCAAAACATCTTTTGTTGGTCCGAGGATTGGGGAAGGCGCACATGCCAAAGTGTATGAAGGAAAGTAGGTACAACCTCTGTGTTTGTTTTGTCTTAAATTCTGAATTTCTGGTCTCTCAAGTTTAGCAATTTAATATGATGCCTTAGATCTTGTTAAATATAAATGCAAATTTGAGTTGGGTTTTAGCAGAACTAATCAAAGATCAAAACTTGATTTGGTGTTCTGCAATTATGGTGTTTATGATGCCGAATATGTGTTTTTCGTGTCGAGTTACAACGATGATGTTCTGTTCTGTTGTGTTCTTAATCTGTTTGTTGGTTGCGTTTTGTTTGTTCTAGATATAAGAGTCAAAATGTTGCTGTAAAAAATGTTCATAGAGGAGAAACCCCAGAGCAGATTGCCAAGAGAGAAGCGCGGTTTGCGGGGGAAGTGGCAATGATGTCGAAAGTGCAGCACAAAAACTTAGTGAAGGTTGTTGTCTAGTTTTCGATAAGTATTTGTGATCACTAAATGGGCGTGTTAGCGATAAGTATTTGGGGATTTTTAACTTTGTGATTCTGTGGTTGTTTTTGTTTCTCAATCAAAGGGGCTTGAAAGAGTCGGATGTGGACAGCTTTGTTGATGAGGTCCTTGTGAATCACAAACCATGGGCTTCCGGAGTGCAAGAGGCGTTGACTGGCTCCCATGTAATGTATGTGCACATGGTGTCGAGATAATAGATGTGGTGTTTGTGGACCTGTTTTGCACCGAAGATTCTTATAACGCTGTCGTGACGTCCATCAGCAGCCGCAGCTGAACCTACCTGCGCACCACCCTTAAAACTACAAAAGAAAGGAAATTGCATCGTAAAGCAGTTATACAATTTATTTTTTTGAAATTTGATGGTAACATTTATACAAATTAAATTGTGGGAGGAATACCACTCACGCGTTATCGACACGGCAGTGACATCATTGCCCTATGCAAAAAATTTAAAAGGGTCGCCTACACTGGGGAAGCTTGGGAAAGATTGATTTTGGTTATTTGAAAGTCAAGCTGCACTTCTACAGGCTGCAATGGATGCCAGCAGCTCCGATCATGGAGCCGCCGCTGCCGCCTCTTCGTCTTCCTCGCGGAGCTCAAACCGCTGGAAGTACGAGGTGTTCCTGAGCTTTAGAGGTGAAGACACCCGCAACACCTTCACAGACCACCTCTTCATTGCATTACGCAATGCCGGAATTAACACATTTATAGACACACAGCTCAGAAGGGGGGAAAACATACAAAGTGAACTTGACCAAGAAATCGAAGGGTCGAGAATCGCCGTCATCGTCTTCTCAAAGAGGTACGCCGAGTCCCGATGGTGCCTGAGGGAGCTGTCGAAGATCATGAGGTGCCTAAAAAATCAAGAGGGGAAAATAGTCTGTCCAATATTCTACGACGTTGACCCTTCTCAAGTCAGGAAACAGAAAGATAGTTTTGGGGAAGCATTTCAGAAGCATGAAAAGGATGAAGATCCAAATGTGGTCAAGCAGTGGAGAGAGGATCTTAAGGCTTCTGCATATTTGGCCGGTTGGAACCTCAAAACCACGGCCGACGGGTATAATTTTTTGTTTACTTCAAATTTCATATCGCCATATTTCACTAATCAACCAAAATTAAGATATTATAATTAAGGCATTGAATCCTGATTTTATATGTTATAAGAAAAATTGGATCGTTGGTCCGTGAACTATGATAGAACTGTAATTTTGGTCACTACATAAAAATTTATTAGAATTGGTATATGAATTTTATAAAAGGTAGAGCATTTGCATAAGAATTTCCGTCAAAATTAAGGAAGTGATTGTTTTTTATAGGTGTGTGAAGGACAAATGTTCCACACTTTATCAAATTAAAATACCAATTGTAATGGATTCTTAATTATATAACTGAAAGCTACAATTGTGTAGTAGTCCAATTGGTTATTCACATTATAATCGAAGATTAAATACGTGGTTGAATTGAGCTCAGTAAATCACAATTTATTCCAATTTGTTTCAATATGTAAATATAAAGGCATGATGAATAAGGCATTTAGTATGGCTCTCGTAATTTGGAATTTCTACTTGTAGGCGTGAAGGAGTGTTTATCGAGAAAATTACTGGGGACATCAAGGGAATATTGAAACCCATAGACTTAAAAGCCAAGCACTCAGTTGGAATAGCTCTTCGCATGCAAGAATTCAGCACTGAATACTTAGACATTGGAGGTTCACCTGATGTTCAAATAATTGGAATTTGGGGTACAGGCGGTATAGGTAAAACAACGCTTGCCAAAGCCATTTGTAGCAAATATGGTCATAGTTTCAGCAGTCAATGTTACCTTGAAGAGGTGAGGAGTAACAAGAAAAATATGGTTAGTCTGCAAGAACAACTTCTTCGAGATATTTTGAAACGGCCTGACATTAAGGTAAGCAATGTTGCCGAAGGAACCAAGGAGATAGAGAAAAGACTTGGAAGCATGAAGGTACTTGTCGTGGTTGATGACATAGATGATGCGGACCAATTAGATAAATTGGCAATAGCACATGACTCGTTTGGTCCAGGGAGTAGGATTATTATAACGACAAGAGATGAACAAGTGCTGAATATACAAAAGGTGGATAAAAGGTATAAAGCACAAGGAATGACTGATGACGAAGCTCTTAAGCTTCTTAGTTGGCATGCCTTTGGAAATGATTGTCCCGATGAAGAATATATTGAACTCGCAAGAGATGTTGTTGATTATTGTGGAGGATTGCCCCTAGCTCTTGAAGTTGTTGGCCGTTTGTTGGCTACGAAAAAGAGTAAAAGCATATGGAAAAGTACATTGAATAAATTAAGAAATATTCCAGATGGAAAAATTCATCAAACGCTTAAATTAAGCTACGATGGGTTACGTGACGATCATGTGAAGGGTGTGTTCCTTGACATATCTAATTTCTTTATTGGAGTGTCTATAAGTGTGGTCGCGACAATATTGGATGGTTGTAGTCATTTTTCTGTAGAAGCAGAAATTACCACACTTTGTGATCGATGTCTCTTATATATTGATAAAGGGGGAGCATTGAGGATGCATGATTTGATTCGAGATATGGGAAGAGAAATTGTGCGGGCAGAATCTCCTGTGGAACTGGGAAAACGTAGTCGATTGTGGCATATGGAAGATGCAAAAAGTGTGCTATGGAACGAATCTGTAAGTACTTTTGCAATAAAAAAGATGTTAAGTACATATGAAGAAAGAGAAGTATATACGCATATCCTGCATCTATATAATGTATGACATACCTAGTATATTCGAAGAAAAAGAAGAAAAGAAAAGGCTTTCATCCACTGGGTAATTTGAAAGAGAAAATACATAATTATGTTGTATGCCCTACCTTGTTAGTAGTTCATTCATCCGATTCATGGCTTTGCTTCATGTGAATATTATCCTTTTCTGTTTTTTTTTTTTTATCTCTAACAGGGAACAGAAGCAGTTGAAGGACTAGAATTATTTTTGCCAGAACATTCTGATGACGAGCAAAGCTTCAGTACAGAAGCATTTAAGAAGATGTGGCGACTGAGAATTCTCTGGCTGGGAAATGTAAAGCTGACTGGAAGCTACAAACATCTTTCCAAGGAGTTAAGATTATTGTATTGGATTGGATTTCCTCTTGAAGCCATACCAGCAGATTTTGATCAACGAAACCTAGTTTATATGGAATTATGGTCCAGCAAGATCGTACGAGTTTGGGAGGATTCGGACTTGGTACAATCTAAATATCAATGTCCTTGTAAATATCAACATCAGTCATCATCATGTATTATCTCTTTTATTTATTTGGATTTTTATTATTGTTTTCTCTTTTTGAGTAACAGTTGCCTAAGAAGTTGAAGTTTCTCGTTCTTGTACACTGCCGTAACCTGACTGAATTACCAAACTTTTCAAAACTCCCACATCTCCGGTACTTGACCATCAGAGACTGTAAGGGTTTGTGTGGGGGTTACCATTTTTTAGCACAACTGAAGATGATTGAGGAATTACATCTCAGCGACTGCAATATAACAGATGGTGCCCTTCTCGAAATAATTGGGAGTCTATCTTCTTTAACAATTTTAGATCTAGGTGGGAATGGTTTTAATAGGCTACCCATTCTCAGTGGTCTTTCTCAGCTTTGGAGTTTATGTCTAAATCATTGCACAAACCTTCAGGCAATCCCAGATTTGCCCAACAGTTTATGTGTATTGGAAGCGAATTACTGCACTGCACTGGAAATAGTGTCCGACTTTTCAGAGATGTCGAAAATGAAACACTTGCAACTGAAAGACTGCCGCAAACTCAAAGATATTCCAAACTTGGAGAACTCATTGGACTACATGGATTCAATTTATATGGAAGGGTGTACCAGTCTCACTGATACTTTTAAGGAGAACCTCCAAACGGTATGGTACTCTCTCTCTCTCTCTCTCTCTCTCTCTCTCTCTCTCTCTCTCTGCTTTTTGTATTGTTGCTTTTACTAACTTTGCACCCCATGCTGTAGAAAAATGCATTTGGTGGAATTTTCTCTCTAGAAATGATATTCCGAAGCGGTTAGCCTATGTCGCGAGAGAGGATGAAACAGTCAAATTTGAAGTGCCGCCATGTATTGATTATATAGGAGGGTTGGCTTTGGGCATCGTTTATTCTTCGGACAACTCCGACTCTAGTGGGTTTCTAACCATTGATGTTGTTAATCGTACCCAGCAAACTAATTTTCGTATCTGGCCAATTGAGGCCACCGTAACTGCTTCCCATGAATATTATCTTTGGTTGGGAAATCTTTCAAACAAGAAGCTCAATTTGAAAGGCGGCGACATGGTTCTTGTACAAGCACAATTTTATGGACTAGATAATACAATTATTAAGGTGAACAAAACTGGAGTGGATATTCTAAAATGGGATTTGTCCGATGATCGTACTAATTGGGACAACTATGAGACTATGTCATATGAGTCTGATGAAGACACTACTGTGTCATATGAGTCTGATGAAGACACTGATGACGATACACTGTCATACTATCGCCACGTTTTCCTCTGCTACAAGACCCTAGAGGCCTGGCCATGGCGCATCAAAGGCTATGAGTCCGATCCACTCCCTAAAATCTTCGCATCTGCTCTCAAAGCTCGCAAGAACGACATCACCTTTAAGGTCCCCTTTCCAGCTCAATTCGTCGGGGTTTCTGATTGCTTTTTCTTACCGTTTCTTATTTCCCGGAGCTACTGAGTTCTGGTGTTGAGCTAACCCCATTACTCACTTTTTTCTTGGTTTTTGATAGACGTTGCTGACAGTAATTGAAGGACGCGAAGGAACTGAATTTTCCGACGGCGATGTGTTGATTTTCCCACTAATGATCAAATACAGGTAAATTTTAATCCGAATTATAGGATTTACATACAATCAAATGACAGCAACCAACTCCGGATATCAACTGCTGGATGAAAAACCTTGCCTGATGCAAAACAACAATTAAATTGAAAAAGTATGTAAGTTTTAGTTATATTATGACTGACTATTTATGTAAAAATGCTTCAGACCTAACTTTCCCTATCTGAAACTAGACGAAAATCGAGATGGATTCCATTTCAGGGGACATTCAGAGATCCCATATTTGAGACTCTACACTAAAATCAGAGGTGGTGTGAGCAGAACCAGCAAGAAAGACACCGCACTACTCTCAAGTCTTAAACACAAACCTATTTATCAATTATCACAAATAAGCCACTCTAAAGACTATTTCCACTTCACAGTAAAACAAAGTGCAGGAAGTATAGATCATATTTTTAGCAGAGTTATTTGGACAACTATTCTGCAAGTGGTGGATTGCCCCGGTGGGTAGGGCATTTTCTCTTAGTCCTACTGCATTCCGGGCTCAAAGTTCTAACCATCCCCTATACCAGTTTAAGCACACCAAAGGCCAAATTTAGCATGTTCTGTCTTCATCCACCCACCCTCAGCAGATACTTATAAAAAATTCAAACACAACTTGCCAAATTCATTCTTAAAATACAAAATGAAAAAGTTTATGATCACTGACCTCTTGGAATCAAACGATATTCAGATGCAGTGATCTGTGGTTCATGATTTTCCCTTGAACATGTTCATCTATCTGCATCACCAAAAAATATATACATTTAAAAAAAATACAAAGTTTAAAGGATGAGAAATAAAGAAAATTCAGAAAAAGGGAAGATATAAGAGTCAAATAAGACATAACCAAAACATCCAAGACTCGCCCACCAAAATAATCAAGACATCCAAGATAACATCCAAGACTCACCCACCACCCATCTAGCTAGCAAACACACAACTAAAGGCTAAAAAGGATACGGTCTTCGTCAAATTAGGTGTTAGGCAAGTCTTGAATGTTTTAGCTATGGTCAACCTAAACCAAAATCAAGTGACAAACAAACAAAGGCATGCATAAATCATTTTCTTTCTGTTAACTTTAATTAATAAGATTGGGTTTGGATCTATCTTAGTCTGCTTTCTGATGTTAACATGTAAGAGTAGAATGTAGTACTACAAAGAGAAAGCCATCATTGCAAGCCTATATCATGGCAAGCAAGGCAGATTCACTCTCACCTCCATATATTACCAAATCTTAATCTATATGATTTTGCCAGAGCTACCTAATGTTGAATATATATCTGTTGAATGTTCTATAACATCAACATTATAAAGGTTTCTAATTGAATCGTACATTTAAAATCCAAGCATGAAAGCTTTACAGAGATAAATAAACAAATGTAAATAACTAATTAGGCAATACACAGCAGAGAAAGGGGGGGGGGGGGGGGAGAGAGAGAGAGAGAGAGAGAAGCAAAGCAGCATTCCAAGTGGGAGTAGGCAGTTAAGCATAGTCATTACGTATGGAATGCCTAAGAACTGATCTGTGCTTCTCTTCCTTATGATCCTCATAAATGTAATTCTACACATTTCTAAACCAAAATCACAAGGTAGAATTCAAAGAAATTTAAAGAAACCTAGTTAACATTCAAGCTTTTTGATTATCCAAAAGATATACAGAACCCCATGTAACAAAAAAAAATTTATGACACAAAAGACATGATCTTTAGCCACAAAAAGGAAAAGAGAGAGAGAGAGAGAGAGAGAGATTTTGCTTTTTGAATTACGCAGAATGTGCAGAGAATCAAAATATCATAAGTCATTTAACAAAATGATATTTTAGGCAAAAAGGCATCACCTTAGACCCCTGATGAAAGAATTTGAGAGAGAGAGGGCATATATGGTTGCCAAGAAGAGGAAGAGAGCAATTCCATTTCCTGTAAAAACGAAGAAACAGAGCATTAACAAACACACATGCATAAATCTCAAAGGAAATTGGTAAGAAATAAGCCCAATTGAGAAAATAATCAGAAAATCAGAGAGGAAAGTTCTGAAACTCAATAAAGACTCACTCTTTCTCCCTCACTCTTTCTCTCTGTACCCGTTCCCCTCAACCCCACCCCCATACTTTTCCCCATCTTTCTCTCTCTCTGCAACCAACGTCAGTGGACAGAACCCACCCTCACCCCCAACCCCCTTTCTAGCTCCTACCCTTCCCATCAACCCTGTGTCCACCCCCAACCCTTCCCATCAACCCTCTTGTCTCTCACTGTGCAAACCCTAAACTCGATGTCACCCTCTGCCTCTCTGCGCGATCTCCTTGACGAGCACCACACCGAATTGCAGAACAAAAACGCCCCAAATGGTGGCCGTTGGATTAAAAGTGAAGGGGGCAAAAGAGTCATTTGATCTTTCGGTGAAACCCAGCCCAAAACTTGTGAAAGCTGCACCCTGGGCCCAAATGCAGTAGCCCAACCCAGCTGTTAAGCACGGCCCACACTAACACACACAATGGCAAACAGTAATTAATTCATAATCGAGGGCCCATTCAATAACCAACATGAGCAGTGCAATTTATTTTCCTAGTTTAGAATAAAGTAATTTCTGTTTCGACTTCTCTTTTGATTACAAGATTGTGCTGAATGTACTAAACTAAATAGATAATTAAATACGTGTTAGCTTTTGAAATTAGTTCGAAATTGAATTTAATGACTTAGTTTACGACTAATTCCTTGCCTTACAAGGAATTAAAGAGTGTTAGGTTATTGTTTCATGTAAATCCCTTTTTATGATTCTGGGGTTGTTTTTGTTTGTTGATCAAAGGGGCTTGAAAGAGTCAAATGTGGATAGCTTTGTTGATGATGTCCTTGTGAATGATAGACCATGGGCTTCGGGAGTGCAAGAGTCATTGACTAGCCCCCATGTATTTGCCCTTATATTTGTATACACACATATGAGTCAAGAGGAATGGAATCGTGATAGTGCACGTGTTCGCATTGATAAGTTGAAAGAGGAGTTTGAGATGCGAGGATTGACGAATCAGGTATTTGTTACTGCTTGCTTTCACCTTGAAGGCCACAACTATGCTGGAATATTCACGACCTACGACCCAGATGGAAGCATGACATACCATTGGTAATATCCGGATCATAACAATTTAAAATTTATCGTATTGGGATCGATGAAGGAGTTTGAATATTATGTATTATTAATTGCAGGTATCCATTTGTCAGTCCTGGTTATGTGCCGGAATTGCTTGATGAACATATTGGGAAGGGAGAGATTATAGAACGACATTGGAGGTTTGTACATTTTTGGTTTTGCCTACTATCTTTGGATGAAAATTTCAATGGACGGCTTGTGTTGTCATATTTTTCAATTGCTGATTATGTCTTGTCTTGTATGATAGATTAATTGATATAGCGTTGCATTAACATGGAGGAACTTTTGTGGAGAAAGCATAAAAGAACTAGATATAATTGTATTACCATGTATATGTTTCTGATTTGTATTGTTGTTGTGATTTGTTTATTAAGCTTGATCATACCTATTCTTACTCAATTGCTATTGACGAAACTTAGAGTTGAATCTTTAAATTGTTGAACACGAAATTCAATTTCATTCCTTACAGGGGCCAAATGGGAGCATCTTCTGATGAAGTTGAAGAAATTAATGACCTGGAACTTCCAAATGGAGAAGAAAATAAGAAAATCGAGGATAAGCCACAAGAAAATGGCAATCAGATTCACCAAGAAAAGGGCAATCAAACTGAGAATAATGAGAACTTTTCAGGCTGTTGCCAGGGTGCTAATAGTGATGGATTTACATACTGCAAAGAAGTAAGTTTGGAGGAGGATGGTGGAAGTGAGGATAAAAAGCCGAAAGAAACCACAAAGTCGTGTGCCAGGAAGGATGCCTTACGGAAGCTGTCAAGCTTGATTGGGAACTGGGAGCAAAGTGACGTTCTCGCAGCTGCTGCCGTGGTTGGAGCAGTGGCAACAGTGGTTGTGGCCTATAGCTTTTACAGAAGGTCAGGTTGAAACGTACTTAAATCCATGTCGGGGTTTTGCCACGGGTGTCAACGCCCTATTTTATTTTTCATTTTTTCTTTGTAGAAAGATGATAACGTCAATTAAATAATCCTTTGAACCATGCTCTTAAATGAATGAAATGTAATAAATTGTTGAATGGTTTTATCTTGATTGGGATCTCTTATGAGACTGCTTGCTAAATGTTGATGTGGTGTGTTCTAAGCTCCTATGATTATTTTCGATTTGCCTGCTGGATTATAATTCAAACGTCAATTGTGTCAAAATTTATGATAATTTTTGTGAAAGAAATCTTAATTTTGTTGTTTATGAATTTCGAAACAGAAAAAACGGCATTGATGTCCTCGTTGTTTGTTCAATAAACTAGATAAATGACTCTGTGCTAACATCTTAATCTGCTTGAACTATTTTTCAGATATACAACATTGTTGTCATGAATTTTACTTTCGTTCTAGAATAGTTTTTCTTATTTTTTTCTTAGTGTGGTTCTCAAACTCTATCATGTGGTAATTCAATTATATCCGTTAACTCAATTTATGTTTCTGTTGCAAGTGGCCTTTTACTATAGTGGTGGAAAGGAGTTAAGCTCTTGTATGACGGTGTGAGTTCAAACTCTGTCGGTATCTAATCTAACAAAATCTATTTTTTGACCCAAAAAAATTTATTTTTCTGTTAAATATAGAGGGCATAGCAAGAATTTTGTACACCCACCTCCTTTTTCCCATTTTTCAGGTTGTGGGATGAATTTTAAATTTATCATCTCTACTTAACAGAAAAATAGATGAAGTCGACGAAAAGGATATATAAAAAAAGTCAGTTTGTAGATCACATAAAACAAATAAAATGTTTAAGAATGAAAATGAAGATAAATGACAAATTCAGGGAACATCGATGTAATTAACCCTATTTATTTTCTATATGTACAAAATATTAAAGGCATTTATATGACACTTATGTACACAAAATTCTACTTTACTCTATATGATGATTTGTTCACTTTACCACCTAAACTTTTATTAGGTGTCTCACTTTACCTTATTCTTTTTAACTTTGTTAGCATGAAAGGGATGAAGATCCAGATGAGGTCGAGCAGTGGAGAAGGATCTTAAGGCTTTTGCAGATTTGTGTGGCCGGAATCTTAAAACCACAGCGGACAGGTATTTTAATTCTTCCTCTAAATTTAATTCCAACGTCTTGTATTAGCTTCTAAAACTCACTAATTCACCAAAAATAAGGAGATTATTATCAGACTTTGATTTTATACGTTTATAGGAAAAAACTTTGGAGCTTTGGTAATGCGTGAAGGACGAATCCTCCGTATGTCAAACCCATTTACTAATTCTAATGGATTTCTAATTGTATGACTAAAAGCTATAATACGGTTTAGTGAGGGCAAACAAACGTCTTCTTATAGTTCATGAGCAATCTAACTGAGCTTAACTACTACAGTTACAATGCATTTCGGAAACACGGCTGAATTGAACTTAACTAGTCATCTTGATCAAATCTAATTTATTCAAAACGTTTTCGCTACCAAAATATCTAATCATGATGAATGAGGCATTTAGTTGATATAAATCTTGCAGTTGCATGATGAATCTTACTTTTGTATAATTTTGAATTTTAACTGCGAGACATGAAGGATTGTTTATCGAGAAAATTGTTGGAGACATTAGGAGACTACTGAAAACTACAGACTTAAAAGAAGCCAAACACTCAGTTGGAATAGCTTTTCGAGTGCAATAATTCAGTACTAAATACTTGGATGTTGGAGGTTCACCTGATGTTCAAATAATTGGAATTTGTAGTCTGGGCGGTATAGGTAAAAAAACGATTGCAAGAGCCATTTGGAGTATGTTGTTTGGTATAGTTAAGGAAAGTGATGATCCAACTCTTCAACAACCCACATCTTAGTAAAGATCATTTAGTTCAGTGTTTAAATTAGGGTAGTTTTGATATAGGCGCCTCTTTTTTTAATTTCTTAGATTAAACATCTGCTTCTTTTAATAATTTAATTAAACATTCTTCCTACAATTAAGGTGCCACTTATTTTATAAGTAACATCCTTTTAATGCCATATTAAACGATTTGCCATTATGATGTACCCTTAATTAATTAATAATTATCATGTTAATATCCCAAATCTCCTAAAATGTAGTAGATTAGTTTTAAAAATCTTAACACATCAAACCAGATCTAATTATTTTTCTAACATGCATTTTACTCCTAACTCCATACCATACAAGTAACTAAAGTTCTATCTTCTTCTACAACCATTAGCAATTTTTTTCTTTTCATGTCACTGCTTTCCTCGATTGGCCAATCAAACCCTCTTTCGTTCTCCCTTGTTGGTCATATTCATTTCCTTCATATTTCATTTTATGTACACCTCTTAATCTGAGTATCTATATCAAAGGGTATGCTTTTTTGTTCTTGCAAACTTTTTACCCATCTTTCACATCTTTTTCACGTAACATGGTACATTTGGGAAATAGAATTTAGTGGTACATTTTCTTTTAAAGGATAATTTGGTACGTTTCAAACCGACATATTGGTATGTTTTAAGTTAGAATGGGTACGTTTCAATTTAGTATCGGTACGTTTCAAGTTGTTATTGAATGTTTCAAGGTTTTTAATTTAGCATTGGTACGTTTCAAGTTGTTATTGGTACGTTTCAAATTGACCTGAATACATTTCAAATTGATTTCAATTTTAAATTCACATTTATATATGAGTACGTTTCAATTTAGCATTGGTACGTTTCAAGTTGTTATTGAACGTGTTTCAAGGTGAAATGGGTACATTTCAATTTAGCATCGGTACGTTTCAAGTTGTTATTGAACGTTTCACGGTGAAATGGGTACGTTTCAATTTAGCATCGGTACGTTTCAAGTTGTTATTGGTATGTTTCAAATTGACCTGAATATGTTTCAAATTGATTTCAATTTAAAATTCACATTTATATATCTCATGCCGCCGAATAGCACTAATCTCAGTTCAAAGACTCCAAACTCATCCTTTTTATCAACAACTTTTATATTTCAATAATAATTTTATGATGTGAATGAGCCAACAAAAGGGGTATAAACCCTGACGCCAAAAAAAAAATTCAAAATTCAAAGTTTATAGATAATATTGGTGATTTAGTTAATAGCCATTAATAATATCCCTAAAAAAAAGGTATAAATCCTGACAAGCCAAAAAAATTCCCCTTATCAACTAAGGGTGTGTTTGTTGCACCGGACTATCTTGGACTGGATTAGCTTCAGGGACTAAACTGGACTGGCTTAGACTAGACTAAGCTGGACTGATTTAGTGAAGCGTTTGGTGCAGTGTCGGATTAAAAAGCAGGACTAATATATTTTATTATTAAATTATATTTACAATATTTTATCATTAATTTAATCTATATATACTAATATTTTATTATTAAATTATCATTTTCCTTTTATCTTCTCTCGTTGTTTTGTTCTCCAGCCCTCCCCTCTCCTTTTCTCTGCCATTTCATCTCCTTTCTAGAACATCTTCCTCTCTCTTTTTTTTTCCGCCCATTGCATCCCTCCCCTCTCCTCTTTCTCTACCATTTCATCTTCCTCTCTCTTTTTTTTGTCCACCCAAATCTTCCTCGGACTCCAAATCTGCCTTGCCCTGCACCAGCGACTCCACCTGCTGCTGGCAGAGAATTCAGCGACTTGAGGTTCTGGAGCTTCTCGGATGGCTCGTCCATGGCGATGGTGGCGGCAGGAAATATGGGATTGGGGATTTTTTGTGGGTGATGGTTGGTGGTGGGAAATATGAGATGGGGGATTTTTTGTGGTTGATGTTGGTGGTGGAAGAACCCTCGCAGGGAGGAGGAAGAAGCCCATAACTCACAAAAGGGCTCACAGGGAGGTGAATCAAGCAGGACGAAGAGAGATGCCGTCGAAATCGAGGTCGATGAGGTGAATCAAGCAGAACGAAGCGAAGTTCCTAGCTAATCCCTTGGTTTTTGGGGGGACTCGTGAAGACCGGCTAGCATGCCTCGCAGGGACTCGTAGTCGAGGCGAGTCCCATTTATTTTAGTCCCACAACCTACCAAACGTAGGATTATAGTCCTACTTAAGGTAGTCCAAGCCAATCCCTCCTAAGGAGGTGTAACAAACGTGCCCTAAAAGGATAAAGTGGGAAATCAACATATAGCATTTTTATTTAAAAAATAAATAAACTAATGACATGTAAATAAAATAAATTTAAAAATGATTAGGTGGACACTATTTAAAGCGTCTTAATCAAATTTTTAAAAGAAACAAATGTTTAATAAAAATTATGTAAAAAAAGAATGGGGGATTCTAATTTTATTGACTCGTTTTTTTTTTATATTTTTTATTGTTGTTAGTTCGCCTAATCACCAAATGAATTGTGCCATTCCTTCTTTTGTTTCGTTGATAATATTTGCCTTACAGTTGATTTCCAGCGGGATGCTTGATATTTCTAAGTATATGGTATGGTTCTTGCATACTGGGACCAAAATATTAGCTTTTTGTCTTTTAATGAATCCAAAGATGTGTTTAAAATAAAGAGCAGTAGATCTGAACTAGGAGACAGACAACTTTTCAGTGTGCCAGAATACATCCCGCTACATCAAGTATCATCATACAAGTGGTTTAATTTAATTTTTTTCAAGTATCCAGTTACTTGTGTGACACTTGATGTATCGAATTGTGTTTTTGGCACACTAAAAAATCTCTCATAAGAATCGCGATAAAATATGTCATAATAATTTGACATCGAACTCGTGCAATACCTCTCACATATCTATTTGCCTTAACCTCTGTACTACAGTCCATTTTCCTCCAACCTGATATCTAGGTCACACATCCTTATTGTTTATGTCATATTTGTCACATTCAAGTTTCAGAAACGCCAGAGTAATGTGTTTTACTTTCTAATACGACATTGGTAATTTAATTATTGTGATGGGTTTTTGGCCTTAGTGGCTACCAAAAGGGCACTTTCTGGAAGCCCTAATTGTATCATTGTGTTGTATTCGTCTTCTTATCGCCCGTTTACCTTTCTTTTTCTCCGACAACATTTTCTTATCCTTCATAGAATCTAGGAAATAAATAAAAGTCACATATCTTCCATTTTCTTGCAGAATTGTTCTTGATTAATTTAGTTAGAGTAGTGTGTATGTGTTTTATGTTTATGCACATCTTGAAAATATTCTCTTTATCAAATCTTAGAATAGATGATATAAACAGACATTCTATTATCGTATGTAGCTAATTTGATTAAAAATATGTGTTTATTGCATGAAGTTTCAATAATTTAGTTTAAACTAATTTAAAGATTGCTCAAATATATGTGTATTTTTCAACGAGGATTAGTTGAGTTGTAAGGTCTATGTTTGAGTTCTATTGTAAGCAACCATTTTTGGTGCACGATCTGTAAAAACCAAAAAAGGACTAAGACCCCTTGTGTAAGTTCTCAAATCTTGATGAGACTTGTGGTATGTCCTGGCCGATAGATTAGCTTTCCTTTCCCCTAAACTTTTACAAATCAAACATATAAATCAGTTATTTAGTAGTCACTTAGTATTACGATTTAATAGTATTCATTTGACTTATAAGTGAGGATAAAATTTTCATTGCGTTGTGAACATTGAACATGACTCAATACACCAAGTATCATAATAATATTGTTTGAATTTTTTTTTTAAATTTCCAACCAATTGTATTATTACAACGTGTTTCTAGTAAATTGAAAAATCTCTCATAAATGAGAGGTTTTAAGTTCGATTTTCATCAAAGTGAATTCGAACCAAATTATTATGACTGTCTCATTGTGAAGCTTAACTCACTCCCTCCACCACTTAATGTACATAATATCATATTAATAAAAAAAAAACTATTTATTTAGTAATTATTTTATTTTATTATAATCTAAACTACGTATCAACGAAATTCTCTTAATCAATCAAAAGAGAGTGAAAATATCAAATTAAATTAAATAAATTAATAAATGAAAAGTTATGTAGAATATAGTAAATTACACACAAAATGCTTTTAATTTTTTTTTTCAAAAGTCTTATAACCAAGTAATCATATCAGTTACCTTGTAAACTTTTAGTAAAGAAATATTTATTCAAAACTAGTAGTTAAAGATATATGGACAGTCTCATTTAGCGATGCAAAATTTGAAGATTGTAAAAAAAAAAAATTTAGAAATCACTTTACATTTTCTCTTTTTATAAATTTTTCCGGTTGCAACTATAAATAAGGGAAAAACAAAGGAAACACACTATTGTCTGACAGAGACTAGTTTATCTCTGGATCCAGAAGACAAGACAGTAAAATTCCAGACGCGGAGAAGGCCAATAAATTAATCTCAACTGAACTCACTTCCCACCCACCCACCGCCACCGTCGCCGCCACCAAGTTCCCAAATCTCCACCTGGATTCTCTCAGTTTCATCCTCCTCTGCCTTGCTCAACTCTATCTGCTTGCTCTTCTACTCATTTCCTCTCTCTCCCCAATTCTCAATAATAAATCTAATCCACTCCCACTGATAGAGCTCTCATCAGTGACCATTTTTCTATTGTAGGGTTGTTGTTGGGTGCCTCTGGATTTTTATTCTTTGCCCCCCAAACAAAAGGCACATCCTAGATTTGTAGGATCCTCAACCGTGATCCTGGGGATGGGTCTGTTTTCCGAAACCTACCGTACCAAGCATGTCCTTTTATTATAGAAATAGAAAGTCTTCATCTTTCTCCCTCTTCAATCATACATAAGTCTCCTTACTTTATTACTTTTTTTCCATTTTTATCCAGACCAAAGCTTCCATCTTTACTTCAAATGTAGTCCTACAAATAAAGGGTACCCTTTGTTTTGGTTAATTAGTCAGTGTATGTTGCTCTTGTTTTAGAAGTTTAGGGAGGGAAAATTATGGGATCTGGTAATGGGGTTTATTCAGTTGCGGATTTCGATTTGGATGCCAAGTGGCTAATCGATCCAAAGCATCTTTTTGTTGGTCCGAGGATTGGGGAAGGCGCGCATGCCAAAGTGTACGAAGGAAAGTAAGTCAACCTCAGTACAACCTCTGTGTTTGTTTTGTCTTAGATTCTGAATTTCTGGTCTCTCAAGTTTAGCAATTTATTATTATCTCTTAGATCTTGTTAAACATAAATGCAAGATTGAGTTGGGTTTTAGCAGAACTAATCAAAGATCAAAACTTGCTTTGGTGTTGTGCAATTCTGGTGTTTATGATGCCGAATATGTGTTTTTCGTGTCGAGTTACAACGATGATGTTCTGTTCTGTTGTGTTCTTAATCTGTTTGTTTGTTGTGTTTTGTTTGTTCTAGATATAAGAATCAAAATGTTGCTGTAAAAATTGTTCATAGAGGAGAAACCCCAGAGCAGATTGCCAAGAGAGAAGCGCGGTTTGCGAGGGAAGTGGCAATGATGTCGAAAGTGCAACACAAGAACTTAGTGAAGGTTGTCTAGTTTTCGATAAGTATTTGTGATTACTAAATAGGCGTATTTGTGATATCTGATGGGGGATTTTTAACTTTGTATTACCAGTTCATTGGTGCCTGCAAAGAACCTGTCATGGTCATAGTGACTGAGCTTCTTCTAGGTGGAACTTTGCGCAAATACTTGTTCAGTATGCGGCCAAGGTGCTTGGACACATGCGTGGCAGTTGGGTTTGCGCTTGACATTGCTCGTGCTATGGAGTGCTTACACTCCCACGGTATCATTCACCGTGACCTGAAACCTGGTACGTTGTTTAGTTCTTTGTTTAACAGAAAGGTTGACCTTTGAACGAAGTCACTTAGCTCGACGTTAGGAGAGTCAAGGGGGGAACGCCTACATAGAAGAACCAAGAAGGATTAAAGTGAAGTCTATCTGTGAGCATGTCTCAAATATGGAAATCCGAAGGATTGTTATTTAGCATTAGGTAGCTGATAGTTTAGTATTCAGCATGATTGAAGACTTCCGTAGCAGAATTAACTTCAGGAACACAAAACGAATTGCTTTAGTTCACATAACTGTCATTTCTTTGGCTTGGGGATGGAACTATTGTTAGGACGAAGCTTATTTCCGAAAACAGGGTTTGTTCCACAATCTTACACTTTTGTCCTGTCCTTTTCCCAGAGAATTTGATCTTGACTGCCGACCAAAAAACAGTCAAACTTGCGGACTTTGGCTTAGCAAGAGAAGAGTCATTGACAGAGATGATGACCGCTGAAACTGGGACATACCGGTGGATGTCTCCTGAGATACGGTACTTTAAATTGGTCATTCAAAGGTTGAAAATTTGTTTTCTCATATGTCTTGTGAGTGTGTTTGATATCAGCAAATTAATTTTCCACCTTTGTATTTGGTGGCAGCTTTACAGCAGAGTTACATTACGACACGGAGAAAAGAAGCATTACAATCATAAGGTGGATGCTTACAGTTTTGTAATTGTATTGTGGGAACTCATCCATAACAAGCTACCTTTCGAAGGCATGTCGAATTTACAAGCAGCGTATGCAGCTGCTTTTAAGGTAACAAAATACCACAATAGTCTTATTCATAACTCGGTACTTTTTAGTTTTTAAGCATTGTAATTTGAGGTTATACGAATTGTTTCACAATAGTCTTGTATATCTGTTGAATGTTCTATAACATCAACATTATAAAGGTTTCTAATTGAACCATACATTTAAAATCCAAGCATGAAAGCTTTACAGAGATAAATAAGCAAATGTAAATAACTAATTAGGCAATACACAGCAGTGGACATAACCCACCCCCATACTTTTCCCCATCTCTCTCTCTCTGCAACCAACGTCAGCGGAGGCCCAAATGCAGCAGCCCAACCCTGCTGTTAAGCACGGCCCACACTAACACACACACTGGCAAACCGTAATTAATTCATAATCGAGCGCCCATTCCATAACCAACATGAATTTACTGAACTAAATAGATAATTAGATACGTGTTAGCTTCTGAAATTAGTTCTAGAAATTGAATTTAATGGCTCAGTTTATGACTAATTCCTTGCTTGTAAATCCCTTTTTGTGATTCTGAGGTTGTTTTTGTTTGTTGATCAAAGGGGCTTGAAAGAGTCGGATGTGGACAACTTTGTTGATGATGTCCTTGTGAATCACAAACCATGGGCTTCCCGAGTGCAAGATCCGTTGACTGGCTCCCATGTATTTGTATGTGCACATTGTAGTCGAGAAGAATGGAATCGTGATAGTGCGCGTGTTCTCATTGATAAGTTCGAAGAGGAGGCTGAGCTGCGAGGATGGACGAATCAGGTATTTGTTACTGCTTGCTATCACACTGGAGGCCACAATGGAAACTTGATTATCTACATCCCAGGTTCAGATGGAAGTACAACAAGCTATTGGTAATATCCGGATCATAACAATTTAAAATTTTTTCGTATTGCGATTGATGAAGGAGTTTGAATATTATGTATTATTAATTGAAGGTATGGCTACGTCACTCCTGATGATGTGCCAGAATTTGATCAGCATATTGGGAAGGGAGAGATTATAGAACGACTTTGGAGGTTTGTACATTTTTGGTTTGGCTTACTGTTTTGGATGAAATATTCACCGGATGGAAGCTTGTGTTGTCATATTTTTCAATTGCTGATTATTTATAGTCTTGTATGATAGATTTATTGATATAGAGTTACATTAACATGGAGGAACTTTTGTGGAGAAAGCACAAAAGACTTGGATATAACTGCATTACCCTGTATATGTTTCTGATTTGTAATGTTGTTGTGATTTGTTTATTAAGCTTGAACATACTTGTTTCTTACTCAATTGCTATTGACGAAACTTTAAATAGCTGAACAGGAAATTCAATTTCATTCCTTACAGGGTCCAAATCGGAGCATCTTGTGATGAAGCTGAAAAAATTAATGACCCGAAGCTTCCAAATGGAGGAGAAAGTAAGAAAATCGAGGAGATGCCCCAAGGAAACGGCAATTGGATTGAGAATAATGAGAACTTTTCAGGCTGTTGCCAAAGCTCAAGAGTTTGGTCGAGATCATCGTCCACTGCTGATCTCTGCAAGCATCTCCTCCACCAGCCTCAATGGTGTTGTACTCGTCCAAGGGCTGGATTACGAGAGCATTAGGCGGGCTTTTTCTCTCTGGAATGGATATTCCTTACTGGTTCACCTATGTCGTGAATGAGGATGAAACTATCAAATTTTGAAGTGCGGCAAAGGACTGCTGTTAATATAAGAGGGTTGGCTGTGTGCATAGTTTATTCCGGGGACCACTCCGGCTGTACTGGGTCTCTATGCATTCATGTTGTTAATCATTCCCAGCGAACTCATTTTGTCATTTCGCCAATTGTGGCCACCGTAACTGCCTCCCATGAATGTCATCTTTGGCTGGGACATCTTTCAAACAAGAAGCTGAATCCGAAGGCGGCAACGTGGTTTTTGTAACAGCAGACTTTAATTAAAGGAGCAGAGGATGATCATCAAATTAAGGTGAAGAAAACTGGAGTGGGTATCACAGAATGTCATTTGTCTGATGGAATTCTAGAATATGATCTTTCATATATAGAGTTTAAGGGCGTGGACTATGAGCGTGTACCGTATGAGTATGGCGACGATACTGATGACGAGGACTATCAGACATAAACTGATGAAAGAGATTGTTGACGTTGCAGACAGAGTTAAGCCAGCCATCACTCATCTAACGATGAGGTACCCTAAACCTAAACTCATCTTATGAGTTTGTTAATTGATTTGAATATTGAAAGCATTACAATTGATGTTTGAGATTGGTCATCGTAAGACCCAGATCGAATTTGGTTACTACTAAGGAAGTTGGAGTTTATTTGAATTACCAGTTACTGTATATCATGCGTTGTCAAGTATATCGTGCAATGAGGTTTTTTTTTTTTTGAAAAGAAAGCGCTGTATTTAAAAGCCGGGATGCGGTTCGGGTCGCGGTGTGAACGGGTCAAGGAACGGGGGTCCGGGTTGAGTGCCTCACACTTCTCTCATGTCTCTCCTGCTCTTCTTTCTGATTGGGCAGTCCCCCTTCACCTTTTTCTCGCCTTTCTCTTCTCTTCTTTCCATCACAGCCACACACGTGGCTTCATCACCACACCCTTCCTGCTCCAGCAAAGCTGGAGGCTTCGGGATTTGAAGATCAAAATTGCTTAAATGTTCTTGACTTTAATCGTTTACATCTCTCTCATTATAATTCCGTTTCACGAACGGTTTTCGCCTATCCGTTTGTGAGACCGAGCTCTATTTGAAATCATTATTATTATGACCTCGAAAGGTCTACGAATTTTAAAAGATTAATTACAGAACTTCATACCTGTAACCAGTGGCGGATCCAGGAAATAATGTTTGTGGGGGTCATAGCGCGCGCAGCGCGAAAATTTTTTTTTAACCTCGTTTGGTACTTCGGACTGTACTGACTATTTCAGTCGGATAAGATAAATAGTCGTCGGATAGTACTAACTCCATTAGTCGGGCGTTTGGTGCAGTGTCGGATAAGTTAAATGGCTTTAATACATAGCTGATACAGTTTCTACCAAACTACTGCATGCAACACAGGAGAAGAGAAAAGAATTAAAAGATACAAAAAATTATGGGGCAATTGAATTTCTACCAGCACGCATAGATTAAGCATCCCCGCTCGATCTGTCTTCTCTTCTAACTCTTTCATCTTCCAAAACGTAGAAAATTGATGACGCTTACGCCATGGAAAGAATGGAACTGGAAAGAAAAAAAAAACCCGAAAACAGTTTTGTATTAATCAACTCTTGAGCTTAGTCTTCACCTTTGTCACAATTCTGTCACTACCGCTTTTACTCTTGTTACTCTTATTCCTCTTTTTCTGTTTCTGTTTCTTTCCACTCTGTTTGTGATCCTCTACTTTTCCTTGAGGATTCACCTCCTCAAACTCGAGCGGTCTTATAATTACAACCAGGTCTCTTCATCACCTGCACACAATTGCATTTAAGGTGAGGAATGAGAAGCGCCATAGCATCCAACATCCGGCTTAGGGAAACAAAAGACGGATCAAAATGTGGTATTTGCAGAATTCATCAATGGATGCAAACTCAAGCATATCCGTATGGCATAGTAATAGCTTGCTTCTTCTTCTTCCTCTTCCTGCAGTGCCGAGCTTCGTTCAGGATTTTTTGTCGAACACTTGGCGTGTGACTCCGACCCCGACGACCCCAGCTCCAAGAGGTCGCGTATGGGAGCTTCAAGGTTGTTTCCATGCTTTCCAAGGGGTCGTGCGACCCCGACGACCCCACTGTGGATCCGCCCCTGCCTGTAACTAAACGATTTAAATTCGTAAATTATTGGGGTTAAAAATTTTAAAATGCCGCCCGCACTGGGAAATCTTGGTAAAAGACTTTGATTATTTGAAGGCCAATCTGCACTTCTTCAGGCTGCATGCATGGATACCAGCAACTCCGCCTAGCTGCCGCAGCGGCCTCTTCGTCTTCCTTGTGGTGCCCAAACTGCTGGAAGTACGAAGTGTGTTCCTAAGCTTTAGAGGTGACGACGCACGCACTAGACCACCTCGATATTGCATTTCGCAATGCCGGAATCAACATGTTTATAGACTACCAGCTCAGAAAGGGAGTTGGGGGGGGGGGTGGTGTGAATATAAAGACAGAACTTGACCGCGAGAAATCGAAACTAATGACGTCGCAGACAGAGCTAAACCAGCCATATTAGTCTGGTGACGATATCAAACTATACCATGAATACTGCCTGATGAAGACATGCACTGATGATGACACTATTGACGTTGCAGACAGAGCTAAACCAGCCATCACTCATCTGATGAGGGACCCTAAACCTAAACTCCTCTTATGAGCTTGTTAATTGATTTGAATATTGAAAGCATTACAATCCCATTACTCGTTATTGACATCTGGCTCTGATTGTTCAGTTGCTTGTGAGTTTAATAACTTATAAGTACGTGCAATGTCCCTTTTTTCTTCGATATGGGGAGCCACGTATACGTCATGTTGATTCTTGATTTTCCCGTATTTACTAAAATACTCCTTTTGAAGTCGTTTGAATTACTAACTTGTGTAGAATCAGAAAAAGCATGGGTATCATCTTAACATTCGATCGTGATCCAATCCATGAATATAATGAATCAAATAAACTAAGCGGGCTAGTTGATCCTCATTCTCACTCCTTTATGAGTTCATGATATGGTCAAATTCATATTATGCAGTCTAACCTAAGCGTTGATTGACACGCATAATCATGTGTTGTCTAGCAGATAATGACAAATACTGATAGTACTAAGTCCATAAAAATTTCACAATATGTATAAACAAACAAACAAGGCAATGTAAGAAATTCATATATTTTACTTCACACATAAAAAATTAAGTGTTACCATATGTTTGTAATAAATATATGCAATGCCATACGCGTGCATATTCATATAAATCCACGCATTTTGTTTCTCTATAATACTTAGAAGATGAAGTTTGACTTGACTTTGGCTATCTGAAAGCCAAGCCGCATAGCCTGCTGCACTCCTCTATTCTCCCAACACTAGTACAAATTATCGATGGATACCATCAGCTCCGCCCATGTAACCGATGTCGCAGCCTCTTCGTCTTCCCTGTGCCCACTCAAACCACTGGAAGTACGAGGTGTTCCTGAGCTTTAGAGCGACGACACACACACTACCTTCGCAGACCACTCTCCATTGCATTATACAATGCTGGAATCCACAAGCTCATTGACTACCAGCTCAGAAGAGGGGAAAACACACAGAGTGAACTTGACCAAGAAATCAAAGGGTCGAGGAATACTTTGTCTGTCTTCTCAAAGAGGCTAGCCAAGATCATGAGGTGCCAAGAAGATCAAGAGGGGAAAGTAGTCTATCCAATATTGTACGACGTCGACCCTTCTCAAGTGAGGAAATAGTGGTATTTTTTGGAAATGCATTTTGGAAGCATGAAAGGGATGAAGATCCAAATGAGGTCGAGCAGTGGAGAAAGGATCTTAAGGCTTCTGCAGATTTGGGTGGCTGGAATCTTAACAAACATAGTCGATTCCTGTTTTATCGCCAATTCATCTAACTGGTCAGCATCATCTATGCCATCAACGACGACAAGCACCTTCATGCTTCCAAATCTTTTCTCTCTCTCTTTGGTTCCTTCGGCAACACCGCTCACATTAATGTCTCCAGCCGTTTCAAAACACCTCGAAGAAGTTGTTCTTGCAGAGCAACCATACTTTTCTTTTTTACTCCTCACCTTTTGAAGGAAACATTGACCACCAAAGCAACGATGATATTTGCTACAGATAGCTCTCGCAAGTATATTGTTTCACCTATACTGCACAAACCCCAAATTCCATTTATTTTGAACATCAAGCAAATCTCCAACATCTAAGCATTCAGTACTCAACTATTGCACAAGAAAATCCATTCCAACTGGGCACTTGGCTTGTTTTAAGTCTGTTTGTTATCAGTAGTCCTCTGATGTCCCTAGCAATTTCCTCAATAAACAACCCTTCACGCCTGGCAATTAAATTTCAAAATTATACAAAAGTGAAATTCATCATGCAACTGCAAGATTCATATTTTCTGAGCAAAGAAGATTTGAGTAAATTAGATTGATCCATGTGATTAACTAAGCTATATACGACCGGATTTCTAACCTTGAATTATAAGTGAGTAAATTTGAGCATCAAAAAATTGTAAAGAAGGAGTTAAAGAAGGAATTATACCCGTCGCCGGAAAGAAGCCTTAAGATCCTTTCTCCACTGATTGTTCGTTTGGATTTTCATCACTTGCATGCTTCCGAACTTCCTCAAAACCACCACTCTGTTTCCTCACAACGACATAGAACATTGGATAGACTATTTTGCCCTCTTGATCTTCTCGGCACCTCATGATCTTGGCCAGCTCCCTCAAGCACCACTGGGACTCCCGCGTACCCCTTGGAGAAGACGACGATGGCGATTCTGGACCCTTCGATTTTTCGGTCAAGTTCCCTCTGTATATTATCCCCCCTTCTGAGCTGGTAGTCTATAAACGTGTTGCTTCCGGCATAGCGTAACGCATGGAGAGATTGTCTGTGTAGTTAGTGCGTGTGTCGTTGCCTCTAAAGCTCAGGAACACCTTGGACTTCCAGCGGTTTGAGCGGCACGGGGAATACGAAGAGGCTGCGATGGCGGTTCCATGGGCGGAGCTGCTGGTATCCATCGATTACCAATTGGTGCAGCTGGCTTTCAAGAAATGAAAGTCAAAACTCTGATCATTTCAGTGAGCGGCACGTGTAATTTAGAAACCAAAAGGTTAACGATTTAACGCCGTGTAATTTGGGTAGTCACTGGGATTGGTTCTTTTTTATTAATTATTTCATTGGGTCGGTAATTTCAATAAGTACTCAAGTATTATTCTTTCTGAAGTTACTACACTAACGTGTGAATAACGCGCAGGTGCAATTTTCACAATTTAATGTGCTCTGATGGGTCATAAGACCCATGTCCAATTTGGTTACTTGCGGTGTTTAAGCCTATAAGTTCTATTGGACCATGCCTTAACCCAATCGAGTAAATGTTTTCATTTTTGTTCTCTCGTGAACACTTTTAAAATTTCACGTCTGAATATTATAATTTTTTTTACTTTCTAACTTCCAAATTCCAATGCGTATTTTAGCGTGACTCCAACAGTTGGACCGACCTGCGCACCACCCTTAAAATACAATAATCTCGTCAACTGGTCAAAGTGGGGGGGGGGGGGGCGGCAGATTTCTCAAAAAACTACAAAAGAGGAAATTGCATGGTAAAATATTTAAATTTGATGGTAACATTTATACAAATTAAACTTTGGGGGAATAGCACTCACGTGTTATCGACATCATTGGCCCATGCAAAATTTTAAAAGGGCCACCAACACTTGGGAATCTTGGGAAAAGACTTGACGTTGGTTATTTGAACGCCAAGCTGCACTTCTACAGGCTGCAATGGATACCAGCAGCTCCGCCAGTGAAGCTGGCTCAAACCGCTGGAAGTACGAGGTGTTCCTGAGCTTTAGAGGCGAAGACACCCGCAACGCCTTTACAAACCACCTCTTCATTGCATTACGCAATGCCGGAATTAACACTTTTATAGATAACCAGCTCACAAGGGGGAAAACCATACAGAGTGAACTTGACCAAGAAATCGAAGGATCGAGAATCGCCCTCCTCGTCTTCTCGAAGGGGTACGCGGAGTCCCGGTGGTGCCTGAGGGAGCTGTCGAAAATCATGAGGTGCCTAAAAGAACAAGAGGGGAAAATAGTGTGTCCAATATTCTACGACGTTGACCCTTCTCAAGTCAGGAAACAGAAAGGTAGTTTGGGGAAGCATGAA